CAGGGAAAAGGTAAGCCTCGGATATTCCCCTCCCCTCATACTTGCTATCTCTCCCCTCATCCCGGCTAGACCTGCATGATCGTCCTTGCAGGATGTGGCTGCAGGCGGTCTGATTCGCTGAACATCACTCCCCTCGTGCGTATCTGGTTCGAGACTAACATTGCATCTATAGTTGATTCTGCCGTAAGTGGATATTTTGAGGGCATCGATCATCCCGCATTTTTCCTAACATTGCCCAATCAGTTACCTCGACATTGATCTCAAGTACTACGATCTGGTAAGCCCACACCGCTCTATATGATGTTCACCTGCAGAACCGAACTAATCAATTACTGTGTAGGGTCTTGAGTACCGTGACCAGACTGATGACAAGGTCACCGTTGATGCCGCCGAGGCCATCAAGAAGTATGGTGTCGGTGTCAAGTGCGCCACCATCACCCCCGATGAGGCCCGTGTTGAGGAGTTCAAGCTGAAGAAGAGTAAGGTTTCCCCTGCCATCTGCATGATGTCGTACGACTCGGCCCGACTAACAACCCACCAGTGTGGCTCTCCCCCAACGGTACCATCCGTAACATTCTCGGCGGTACCGTTTTCCGTGAGCCCATCATCATCCCCCGCATTCCCCGCCTTGTGCCTGGCTGGAACAAGCCCATCGTTATTGGCCGCCACGCCTTCGGTGACCAATACCGTGCCCAGGACCGTGTCATCCCCGGCCCCGGTAAGCTCGAGCTGGTCTACACCCCCACCGGTGGTGAGCCCGAGCGCGTCCAGGTCTACGACTTCCAGGGCGGTGGTGTCACCCAGTGCCAGTACAACACCGATGAGTCCATCCAGGGCTTCGCCCACGCCTCTTTCCAGATGGCCCTGATGAAGGGTCTGCCCCTGTACATGTCCACCAAGAACACCATCCTGAAGCGCTACGACGGCCGCTTCAAGGATATCTTCGAGGAGATCTTCGAGAAGGACTACAAGAAGGACTTCGATGCCAAGGGAATCTGGTACGAGCACCGTCTGATCGACGACATGGTCGCCCAGATGATCAAGTCCGAGGGTGGCTTCGTTATGGCCCTGAAGAACTACGACGGTGATGTCCAGTCCGACATCGTCGCCCAGGGCTTCGGCTCCCTGGGTCTCATGACCTCCACCCTAGTCACCCCCTCCGGCGAGGCTTTCGAGTCCGAGGCCGCCCACGGCACCGTCACCCGCCACTACCGCGAGCACCAGAAGGGCCGCGAGACCTCCACCAACCCCATCGCCTCCATCTTCGCCTGGACCCGTGGTCTCGTCCAGCGTGGAAAGCTCGACAACACCCCCGAGGTTGTTGCTTTTGCCGAGGAGCTTGAGAAGGCTTGCACTGATGTCGTTAACGACGAGGGTATCATGACCAAGGATCTGGCTCTCGCTTGCGGTCGCAAGGACCGTGAGGCCTGGGTTACTACCAACGAGTACATGGCTGCCGTTGAGCGTCGCCTGAAGGCTAACCTCAAGGCCCGCCTGTAGATTCCTTTTTCCATTTTAACTTAAACATGTTATGCGTTTGATACCCCCTCTAGACTCGGGGGATTTTTAGCTTCTGCAATGTACAGCTGTGGATGAAAATAAAATGATCTTTTATTCTATTCGTTATCGATTGTAGCCTTAGGTGTTCCAGTGTTCTTTCCAATGATGTGAATGATAGAAAGTACGATATACTCCAGAGCTGCTAGTATGGAAGTCTGTTTCTTGCTGGGAGAGACCAAGTCATTGTTCTCAAAGTAAACCTTCTCCTCGGAAAACTAAGTGTCTCCTCGCTAACTCTAAAATTAAAGTAGTTGCCAATTAGCCTAAGTCCTGAGGTCTGGTCCCTTAATTCAAGTTGTTTAGCCTCTTGTCCCTGTTGCAACAGGTACACTTCAGCGAATACTGGTACCGGCAGAGGCTCCGGGCCATCAAAGAAGTCCATCACGGTCTAGCCCTCACTGATAACCCACGACTCAGAAACCTGGGCATCAGCCTTCTTCCACTGCTCGGCAAACAATCAAACGAGTCATAGTATCTGATCCCAAGCCACCGTAGGTCTAGACTTGAGGTCTAGCGAAAGAAACAAGCCACAAGATCTGGCAGGATAGTATGGGGGATAAAACTTTCCCCCACAGCCAAGCACTCGGCACTTTTAGTAGCGCCGAATCTGCCAAAGACTAAATAATGGACATTCCATGACGATATAAACTACTGCTAGTAGTAAAGGTATCGGCAACTCCGAGCCAGCCTATTGAGATGTACATACGAGCAGTTACCCACAACGACACACAAAAAAAAGGCGAAAAAACAACAACAATCGAGTGCAACGCTGAATCATGTAGACGCAGATCCGGAAAATATAGACACGACCACTGGGGTTCAAACTTCCAAAAAGACTTCGAAATAGAGCTTTTTCACCTCCCACCAACCTTGATTGACGTTCCGGATACGGAGAATTCTCCACTTATTTCCCCAGTCACCACTCTCCTAATAAAGCAAAGACAGGATCCTCTCGCTAGCAAGTCCCCTACAATCCATGGAAAAGCCCCGGATCCGAGAAAGCTACAGAGAACGATTCGATGGAATCCCGAAATAAGATTTTGAAGGCGTGGGACCAGACTGGCCTGGCGAGATTTTTCCATGAAATGTCAACGCCGCCAGAAAGATCAACCTTGCATCGATTGGGTGGGACTACCTCCACAACTTTATTCTCTACTAATCATTTGCTGGGATAATTCGGCCGGCGATTGTATTTCCTGGAATTGGCCTATCAGCGTTGATGGATAAGTTCGGGGCCTGCGAAGGGGAGGCCTTATAGTCTTTGACGCAATCGCTCAGTGCTGGTTCCCGATGCGGTGGTTGATGGACCAATAGGGCTGGTCGGTTGAAACAACCCCATGATGAAGCATGGGTTAACGGTTGGTCTGGGAGGCGCTACTGGGAACTTGGGGGCTTTTCTGGGCTTTTGCACTACTATCATGCAGAATGTCGTGCCTGGTTGAATCTTTCTGAAGGAATTGTGTGTCCGGGCGATTAACCGCTGCATTCTCGGCCGTTCGTCTGGCTTTGGCTTTGGCTTTCCCTCTTATATTTAATATTCGCGCCTCCCATTGTCTGGATTCGTTGGAACCTTCGCATTGTATTCAGGCTATTGTGAACTTGGAAGGCTCTGCTGGTCATTCTCTTGATACTACCTTTATTGCATGGGACTTTGCCCCCCCTCTTCTTTTCTTCTTCTCTTCTTCCTCTTCTTCTTCTTTCTACATCTTCTTTCTACGACAGATGGATTGACACTTGCTTGCACCTTACACATATACCAAGAGACTAGCCAGCCTCTCAATGGATTGACTGATAATCGCTTGAACATCCTCACTCGATAATGCGCGTCCGGGTTATCACGACTGTCTTTACCGTCTTGTCGGCTCTGTTCGTTGCAATCCGCCTGTTCACACGTGTGAAGCTGGTTAAGAAATGGGGATACGATGACTTGCTCATCATTGCGGCATGGGTTTGCTCCGCTACCTTTTACGCCTTTATCGTTGTCGGTGAGTCCTAGAATTACTATCAGCATACCTCTCTGCATACTCAAGCTAATTGTATAGAGCGACACTACGGTCTTGGGCAGCCTAAAACATCACTTCCTCCCAATGTCATCCAAGGACAGCTATTTGTAAGTTCTACTTCCCCATTGATCGAACGAATACGTGTGGCTGATAGAAGTAAATCATTCAGTATCTTTGGATCTCCATCCCTTTCTACAACCTCTCCCTCATCCTTTCCAAACTCTCAGCCCTCGTCTTTCTCACTTCCATATTTCGCATCCGACGCTTTCTCATCATCGCATACCTCGTCATGGGCTTCCTGGTGGTTGCAGGACTCTGGATGGTTCTCAGCGGCTTCATCTTCTGCGTACCAGTTCCCATCTTCTGGAGCATGAACAAGAGTCTCGTCGCTGCGCACTGTCTACCGAAAGCTCCAGTATGGTTTACGAACGCTTCCATACAAATAATCACCGATATTATCATCTTGATACTGCCGATGCCAATTGTATCCAAGCTGCGATTACCGAAACGTCAACGGGCGGGGATCATGATCATTTTTGGCGTTGGGGTCTGCGTCATTGCAACAAGCTTAGCGCGAGTCTATGAATTGAGTGTCATGGTACGCAGTCACGACTTTACAAGTAAGTTACTTCCAATTGCATCCATTGCTCTTCTCTCCTTTCAATCCTCCAATAGAAACAACCAACTAACCCATTCACAGAGACCAACGCCGAAGCCGCAGTCTGGTCTTCCCTCGAAGCAAATGTCTCTATAATCTGCGCCTGCCTCCCACCTCTACACACTCTAATCTCACGAGTCTTCTCATTCTGCTTCCGCCCACAACCAATCCACGCAGCACCCGCTTCAAACACCAAACCACACTCAACTACAACATTCCTCACCTCTTCAGCCCGCAAACCCTCCATCTACGACCCTCACCATTATCATGAGGGCGTATTCTACAATGACCCCTTCTACACCGGCCCAGTAGGAGCCTACACTGCCAGTATCTCAAAGGTCAATACGAACGGCGAAGACCCCGAGAGCGGTGGCAGCGCCAACAGCGGAGATGGTATCCGTGTTGTCCGCGAGCTGCGCATTGGATCTGATTCCGCCGCGCCGAGTCCAACACTCGCTCCGACTCTCGGTCCGACTTTCGGTTTGACTGGGACCAATGAGCATGATTTTGAATTGGAGCCCCATAGTCCGTCTGTTGAGTGGGATCTTGGTGATTTCGAGTTCCCAGATTATAAGGAGCGGATGAATGCCCCGATTTGATGGGATAGATCGGATGGAATCGGATGGTATATCTATGTAACTATAGTATCTAAGGCATTGCATTATGCATAAACGCGAACACGACGCGAACACGACTTGACTAGAAATTAATTGAAATGATTGGACAAATGACTCTATATTCAGGTTTATAACTATTTGCCTCCAGGGGACACAGGGTACTCAGAGACTGGGTCGGGCGTTATCCTTCCATCTCATGGCTTGTTCAATGGCCTTTGCGACAGCGACGCATTTTTCTTCGCCGAAACGGCCGCCTACGACTTGTACGCCGACCGGCATGCCTTCGACTAGGTTGATATCATCTGCATAGATCAGTACTAGTTAGTACCGTAGTACGCAGGTTGGGTTCAGGGAAGGGGTAACTCACACTGCTCTTTATTAAACCTGTCGCCAGAATTCCTAGGCACATGGTCCGACCACTCTTGATCCGGCATATCCTGTTCCCGAGAAACATTCGTGATGGGCACAGACAAGGCCGCGTATCCGAGTAAATTCCAAATACTAGTGTAGCCCACGTATGCGCTGGATTTCACCCATGTCCAGGGCTTGTATCCCACCCATGGAGTCGTTGGCATAATTAGTGCGTCGATGCCGGATGTAGTCCAGCGATCGAGGTAGCTACTCTCATAGAGATACTTATCCGCGTTTAACTGTCGTCCGTTAGCAGCTGTCCGATAACTACTGCACTGCAAAACTACACTTGTATCACGTACCTGATGCGTCTCCGAGGTAGACAATATATGATCCGGAGTTCCAACTAACATCCCTTCAACCAGGGGCTCACCCGTCATCTCGATCTTTCTACGACATCCCTCGCCTCCATCAGAGAAAATAGCCTTCTCCCATAATGAGTAGGCGTATGAATGAGAGGACGCATCCCATTCAAACACTGCCAAAGGACGGGTCAGAGGGATATTCACTTAAATACTTCAAAGAGAAAGGTCAAACACAACAGGGAGAAAACCAACCTTCATGCCCAGCCGCTCTCAGTGCATCGATAACATCCCGAACCGCCCTCGCGATCGGAGGTTGAACTTTGACAACGCCATCATCTACCACAAAGCCAATGCGGAGTCTCTTCGCCTTCAACGAAGCTAAACTCCTCCGCCACGGAACGGGAGCAGTATGTTGATCTAATTCCCAAGGCGAGGCACACGGCAGAACCTCCATATACCTCTCAATACTCGCCAGGGAGCAAGCCATCGGACCAGCAACGGAGCGAACGATATCCTGGCCGGGACTAGTGAGAACGGGGGATTAGCATATAAACAACCCTAACCACTGTCCATACCGCGGAAGAATATAGAAAGAAACTTGAACTTACTTCCCCCTCTCATAAGGATGTCTTCCAGGACTAGGTGAAAGACCAAAAATCCCCGTCAAACTAGCCGGGATCCGAATCGAGCCTCCCAAATCCGTCCCAATACCGAGCGGACTACCCCGAGCCGCAACAAGCGAGGACTCGCCGCCGGAGCTCCCGCCGGAAATCAGGGCGCGATTCAGTGGGTTCACGCATTGGCCGAAGACGTGGTTGTATGAGTCGGACATCATCATTGATTGGGGGAGATTTGTTTTTACGTATAGGACTGCCCCGAGACGGCGGAGGGTTTGGGCGACGGACTTGTCGGTTTGGGAGGGGTTGTTTGTTAGTCCGACCCAGCCTGTATGGGGATGATGTTGTTAGCCGAATGCATGGCTGGGTGATTACCGGGTATGGTTTAAGAAGGCAATGAACATACCGATAGAAGTATCGACACCCTTAACAGAAAATAAATCCTTAATCGAAACAGGCAGTCCATGCAAAGGACCAACCGTCGATCCAGTCCTCGCTAAATGAGCATCCATCCGCTTCGCCGTAGCGAAGGCTTCTTCAAAGAATATCTCCGTGCAGCAGGTGGTTAATTGGTGGGCTAGGGCTGCGCGCTTCGCGAATGCAGTCGTTAGTTCTAGCGAGGAGAGCTCGCCGGATGAGAGGTTGCGCAGAAGCACTGTTATATCTGTTTCCTCTGTGAGGAGTAGTTCTCTTGCGGAGAGGATGCTTCGGAGGTAAACGAGTGCGTCGGGCGTCGATTCGACGGATGGGATTGAAGAAAGACGCCATTCGGCTGGAATTAGGGCCAGTTGCTCGGCGCGCTTTTGGGCTGCTAGGTCCAGGTAGGTTGGTGCTGTTGTGGTGGCCATTATGGAAGTTGCTTTAAATCCGAGGCCAGTGTCAGGTGGGGTGGGATGGAATGATGTCTATGGGGATAGTTGGAATTTGGTAAAAAAAAGGTGAGAATGTAGTAAAGGATAACACTGGCAGCAGCTTCATATATGGCCTTGGAGTGAGGAAATAAGATACTAAGAACTAGGTAGGCAATAAACGAACAAACCACCGACAAGAATCCAAGTACTAGTATGTCACGAGAAAGAAGCCAAAGATAAGAAAAATAGATTCGTTTCCCAATTAGGCAAGTTATCAAAAGTATCTACACCAACAGCCAACCACAAGATGACCTCCACTGCAACTGGGTCCTTCTACCCCGCGATTTCCGTCCCCACTCCCTGGTCCCCTAGACCACCGAGGCAATCCCCCGACTCATCCAACGCCGCTCACACTGTTCCTGACCATCCGGATAACGCGGAAACTCACAAAGCCGACAATTCCGCCAGTAGCTGCGAATAACCTCGCACTGTTGTGCTTGCGTTGCGTGTATTCCGCTTACATAGATAGGTGTGGCGAGGTGCACGTAGAAACGTGATGAGGTGGGTAATCGGGATATTGCGCTGCATACGCGATCCACCATGTTTGATAATACGTCTGAGTGGGCGGGTGTTCTTAATTGATCTTGATCTGAATTATGGCTCGGGGGCATGGCCCGGGTTGATCTTGATCTTGATCATGGTGTCGGTATAGACGGGCAAAGGCAACGATCGCCCCTGCATATCGGTATACTGCAGCTGCGAGGCCGCGATCTGTTTGATCGGATGAGTCGAGGCGCAGAACCTGGTCCATTGCCATGGTACTGAGCTCTGCAATGCTCAAGGCATTCCTGGATCTAGATTCGAATTCCGATTCCTGTTTGGCGAGGTGTACGAATAAGTCGTATGTATCTGGCGGGCAACCTACAGAAGAGAAAAACGACTGGTGGAGAATATTGCGGTGCCAGTCGTCGAAGATAAGAGCCCCGTCTTCACGGACTAGGGTCCCTGTTACATCGAACCAGACAAGGTAGGCGAGGACATCTGCGAGGCCGGGGATTTGTTGCGTGAGATTATCGATGTCTGTTTGGTTGTGGCAGTGTAGGTCGAGTAATGAGCGTGCGCCTTGGACATGTCGGTGCCATTGTCCGAATGGGCCGCAGCAGACCTCGAACATGGCGAAGGTGCCGATACCGAACAGGGCGACGGGGTGCGCTGACTCGATGACCTTGCTTAGATTCGATATCGCGGTCAAATGCGACTGGATTGAGTCTTTGTCATCTGTGCCTTGGAGGCGAGATCGAGCGAAGCTGAGTGTTCGTGAGATAAGTTCGATGGCTTCTTCCGGAAGCTCCTGCTTGCTTGATTGAATCTCCTGGTAGAAGTGGGAGAGAAGGTCGATGAAGCCGTATAGATTGATAGGGATATTTGCATGTAGATCCGTCTGGCCAACTTGAATTGAATCATGTTGCTCCGCTGGTATGGTCGACAATGGGGACAATGATAATGACGGGGATGTTTGAGGTGATGTCTTCACTGCTGGGGTGGTCTTCTCGCTCATCCATTTCACCCTTTGGGGATATTGGCAGGATACATCTTGCTGTTGACATGGTTGGCATCGGGGGCGGTTGAGATCGCACTTGATGCCATTCATGCGGCAGTGGTAACAGTGGCGATCATGGCGAATGCCACGAGGCTTCTTATCCCCTGCCATTGCCCATCTGGATGAATTTGTTCCAAGGGGATGTCCTCGGGGCCAGTGCCGAAGCCGGATCGACGGGAGATAAGAGTGCGGGGGAAGTCTACGCCGGGTTGCCCGTTCGGTCCTAGCGAGACGAGATACTCCTACAAGTCGGAGTTGATCCGCGGCAGCAGTTTGTACATTGAAGCGAGTGTGATTTCGGTAATTATAGCACAGTACAACCGGGGAAATTCCCATGTAAGCACCTTGAACCTTGAACCCAAATGATAAACCAAAAGAGTGACAGAGTCTGGAAGCCTGCCAGAGTATGAAAAGAGTGTAAAACGCCAGAGAAAATATTTACAAACTTTGCGACCGTCCCAAGTTAGAATATACAAAAACAAAAATAGTATTTACACCGTCTCGTAGAATATTTCTTCTTCCTAGACTTCAGTCCCGCTCAGTGGCAGGAGACGTTGGGAGGAGGATTCGAAGCCATTGTCATGTGCACATATCGACTCTGCGAGGATCCATTTTTGTGTCCTGGAGCCATCTTTTCACGTCGATCACGTCGCTTTGTGTATGAGTTGACTTGCTCTGGCCTGGGCTCAACGAAGAGATCCTGACCAGCATCTGAAGTCAGTTGACCCGACCTGCGGTGTTCAACTTTTGGGCTTTTTGTTTCGAGTCTGCCTGCAAGTTTTTTTTTTCTCCCCTCGCGACGACGATTCGCTCGCTCATGCTGTCTCTTGCCGAACGCGTGGCGTCTCTCAGCTGCCGCGCGTCGTCTTTTGGTCCTCGACGAGGCTCGAGAGAGAGGCCGTGATGAAGCGAATGAGGCCCGGGAAGAGGAGCGTGACCGATTCTTCGAGCTGATCACTTCCTTGAGATGGTCAAGAGCAGCTATGAGTGGGAAGGGAGATGCGACCCTGCCGTTCACTACTGATGCGGAGCCCAGTGAAGGGGCAATGTTCAACAGAATGTTGCTGTTGGAGGCTTGGCTGATAGATCGTCTTCGCTGACAGGCCGTCTCAGATGCACTCTGCGGTGGACGGTTTTCGTTCTCCACGGAGACTGAGCAGAGAGAAGCTGCAATGGCATGCGAGATTTTGCACTGCGTGTCTGGACTGATGGGATGCTTGGTGGGAACGATTGGTGCAGGTGTTTTAGGACGACTATCGTGACCCTCCAAAGGAAGAGCTGGAGGAGGGAGAGGCGAAAGCTTGAGAAGAGAGGCTGAATCTTCAGTATCCAACCCACTGAGGCTCGGCTTTTGGGGAGGCGATGTGGAAGTGACAGGCGGCTCTTTCGACGAGCGATCCGACGCAGGTGGGCTTGGGTCAACGACGTTTGACGGCATCTGTGATAAGACAGGCATGGGCACCATGCTGATGGTCATAGCAGGCATGTTCGGCATATTGAAGGTAAGACCTCCCAAAAAGGGACTCTGGAGCCCCGCATGAAATGGCTTCGGGGCGAGTATTGGGGACGGGGCCCCTGCTCGAAATGGTGCCACCTTGTAGTCCAAATTTTGAGGTAGGGCGCCAGCATCAAGAGAGGCGAAAACTCTAGGACTGCTCTGAGCACGGCTACCGGCAGACTTGGGAGAGTCTTCGTTCCGTTCCGAAACACTTTGATGGAGAGAATCAAGGCTGCTTGAACAATGATGGCAGATAATGTCGTACTCTCCCTCGCGGGGTACGAAGGTCATCGAGACAGGCTGCAGGCCCATGTACATATCTGGGTTCCAGTTGCATATCTCCAGCCAAGTTGGAAGCTCATCGATCGGGATCAGAGGCACCAGGATTCCGCCTGGTCGGAAGACACAGAAGCGAGGAATCGGACGAGAAGTCGGGAAGTGCAGAGGATAAGGCAGTTGGTATCCGCAAGTCTGCATAGCGACAAGTCGATGTCAATATCAGTGTCAAGAATAGAGAACACAAGCAAGTGAGCGAAGGAATGAGTGAGTGAGTGAGTGAATGAATGAAAGAGTGAGTGAAAGAGTTGTTGGTAACCGAAAGTACGAATGCGGCTGAGTGTAGAATGAAAGTGACTGTATGATATACCGCGAGTGAGAAGAAAGAGTGGATGAGGAGACAAGAAGAAGAAGAAGAAGAAGAAGAAAAGACGAAGAGAGAAGAAAATGGGAGTTTTGTTTACATTGTGGTCCGCTCTTTCCAAGTGAGGTATCAAGTATCAACAATGGTATTTCCATGGATTAAATGGCAGGTACATCTAGTCTAATCTGAAACAAAAGGGAATACTGACGCAGGCCATTAAGGTAAAGCGAAGATGATCTCAGGAAGGAACAAATGTGCCATTGCGACAGTCGAAACCCAGGTTGGGGTTGAGTGCTGAAGTAGCATTGATGCAAACCGCAGTGGGGGCCTCCATACTTTGCGGAATCAACTGAATGTTTCGCAAGGCAAAGTTCTTGCAGGACTTCTCTGTATTGCACTCGATAATGACAGCCTCGGTGTGCTTGAGATTTGGAAGCCCAACATCATACCAGCAGGGATCACTCGCGCAAGATCCATCACCGGGACGGAAAGTGTTGATAGTACCTGTAAAGTCCGTCCAGGAGAAGTCCTCCATCACGACAGAGGCGTTATTGACACGTCCAGTAGTTTGGCCATCGCCGAGTTGTGTCTGGGAAGAACCCTGGTTGAGATAGCTCTGCGTCACGAAGATCGGAAAAGTCACGTTGTACACGCGGATGTTCTTCCAGGTGATGTTCTTGGCGAGGCCCTGACCACCCATCCAGGACTTGAAACGTGCACCGTAGACTGCATCAATGACAGTGACATCTTCGAAGTGGATGTTGGAGACGTTGGCGAATTCATCTTGGGATTGACCCAGTGATCCAATGCTCATGCCGTGGCTCTGGTAGCCGATGGTGTTCCTTTCGAAAACCACGTTGTGAGATCCCGATTGGACTGCAATGGCATCGTCTCCGTTGTATATCACACTGTCGGTGATGCGGACGTTCGTGCCAGTAACATCGAAGCCGTCAGTGTTGAATGGGAATGATCCGGTGGACTCGGCGTCGATGAAAGCGTGGCTGACTTCAATGTCGTCTCCCTCTACCTGGACATTCCAAGCGATGGGTTTGCGAGACTTGAAGTACTTCAATGAACCATTCGTTGTCTTGAAGCTCATGAGGTGTGGACGAGAGTCAATTCCCGTGCCATTAACTGGGTTTGCATCCCACCAAGCCTGACCATAAGAGTTGATCCAGCCATTGTTGACATCCGAAGAGCCGATATAGTCGATCTTGGGCCCCTGGAAGGTAAACCAGTGCTGGCCATCCGCGTAGGTAACTCTATTTGTGCGGTTGACCACCTTTTGAACTTCGGCAATACTTTGAGGGAGGTGGAGGTTACCATTCACCTGGATCTCGACATTGCTCAAGTTCGTGACGCTGACCGGTGTGAAGATATTATAGTCGACGCCTTCCTTGAAGACAACGACCGAGTCTTTAGCGCATCGAGCAAAGACTTTCTGCACAGCCGGAGTATCGTCCGCTGTACCATTGGAAGACGGGACAACACAGCGATGGGGTCGACTGGTATCTGAGCGGCGAAGGCCCGGAGCACCGAGCGCCAGGGAGGAAGATACCAGAGCTAAGATCGCAGAGCGCGGAATCAGCATTGTGAGCAGAGCAAGCGAAAGGAATGCTGGAATTGATACCTCTGGAGAGCCAACACTCGTCCGCTTTATACCGTGCCTGGGAGTATACTCTACCCCAGGGTTATTTGGATAGATCATCGCCAACCCCGGAAGAATCGCCATCAACCCCGGGGGATCGACCCCACAATGGGGAGACAGTTAGCTTTGAAAGCGCCAGCTGCGGTGTCGAGTGGACGGACTTTTATTTCCGCGGCCGGGGTCTCCAGATCAATTGGTGGAAATAACTGGGATCGACGATCTTCTCGCTGCAGGCTAGTTGGGACGATGCTTGTACGAACATCACACCAAGCAAACAGCCGACGAAGTGCCACCAAACCATTGCATTGTGTTGCGTTACCGGTAGTTGCAATTGGTTCCCACTTAAGTGCCACATTGTGGCACCAAGCATGGAGGTGGAGGTGGCTGGTGGCTGATGGCTGACAGGCTACGGAGTACTCATAGACTAGCAAGCTGCCGGAGCTCGGAGCTTCGACCAGCCGATATTAGATGTCACTGACTTGAACTACGAATACTTTCTCTACATTCCCACCATCGGCATTCCAACCACCAACACATCCGCAGAACCACATACATCTCTCATCCTCTCATCTCAAAATGACACTCGAAAACCCCACGAACACCGACCGCCCAACACCAACCATCACCCCAGAATCCGCAAGCCTCCACCTAGGCAGCTCAATCTTCATCAACGCCCCCTCAACCCGCGTCTGGGAAGTCCCTAACCGACACATCAACATGGCCAAGCTGGAACTCCTTCGTACCACGCGTAACAATCCGCTCACAACCCGACACCCCGACATCCACATCCGCTGATACCGACCCCAACACCTCCACCACCGCACCCGCACCACTCTCCCCAATCCTCCAAAAAGGCACAAAAGTAACCTTCCATGTCCGGATGGATCCAAACTCAACAAAACCCCAACCCGCAACAGACGCCGGCCTAATCGTAACCGAGTACGAGGCGCCGAATGCAGAGACCGGGACTGCGGGGCGAATTGTTTGGGCCTCGGACTTCGAGGCGGCTGGGACGATGCCGCCTTCGCTTTTGACTGCGGAGCGGGTTCATGAGATTAAGGATGTAAAGGCCGAGGAGGGTGGGGTGAGTGGGACGGAGGTTAGGAATTGGGAGTTGCAGGTTGGGTGGTTGGTTTATGTTGTTAAGTGGATGTATGGGGCGCAGTTGAGGGTTAATTTTGATCTTTGGGTTAATGATTTGAAGGGGTTTGTTGAGGGGAATGGGGGTGGACATGAGTAGATTAAGTTGGTCGTGAATATGGCGGTATTTTACTGGGTGTTTAGTTCAGGTTTTTTGATTCAGGTCGCAGAGCGTGTGCTTCGAGTTGAATTGATCTACGGCCCGGGGTCAAGGATGGGAGTATCAAGCCCTGGAGGTCTTCAAGTTTGTTTCGTCTTTGATCGCTGGGTTTAATTTTCAAGGACTACGAGTGTAGTAGTAAGAATGATCTCTATTACAATGGAATGGTGCGGCAATAATTAATTGTATGGAACAATAGACTGTTCAAATTGGTCTCAAATTCTAACCTTCATTAATCTGGTATGCTCCTCACTGCCAGTGCCTTCCCTCAACTCCATCACCGGGTATATGATCTAACGAATGTATATAGTAGTAGTATAAATGCCAAAGAAAAAGAAAAATGCTCCGAATGCCTACCCAATAAAAGCACAATGCAAATGCAAATGCAAAATGAAACCAAAGAAAGAAAATATCAAGACAAAAAAACAAAGTCCGACCAGATCCAACTCATGCTTCCCCATCCCCACAAACCTCCTCCGCAAGACCCACCCACTCAATCGCAGTAATCCGCTTCGCCGGATCCTTAACAACAGCCTGCCGAACCAACCTCTCAACAAACCCATTCCTAGGAACCCTCGCCCCATTCCCAAACGAGCGAATGAAATCCAGAATCTGATGCCCCTCCCCGGCCATCAGATTCCGGCGCCGGAAATCACATCCAGGATACAAGAGTACATCGCCCGTCGCTGCGGCCAGAAGCGTCGCAGCTAGGGAAAATACATCCGAAGCCGGCCCCGGTGGAGGATTACCACTACCAGGCCTGAGAGATTTGAGGACCTCAGGCGCGGAGAAAGGTGCCGTGAAACTGGATAGAGTCTTTTCCTCATTACCGTTCTCCGCGGGGTCCGGGGAGATATCCATTGCTGCGGAGAAATCCGCCAACAGCGGCTCATAGCGGAAGGCGTTGGAGCCATTGCCATTGCCGTTGGTCATATCCTGTCGTCCCTCTGCAACCTCTATAGGGCGGAGTAAGATGCTATGCGGCTTGACGTCGCCGTGCATAATTCCTGCAGTATGGTGGAGCCAGCCGAGACTGCTAATCAGCTTGCGGGCCAAATCCTTCCAGGGCTCTGGGCCGAGGAACGGGTCGAACATGGTGGCTGTTGCGATAGGCTGATTGCGGACGCGATTCGCTGCTTCTTCGATGTATGTTGATAACGCGAGTGGGACGGCGGTCATTACCAGTGACTGGGTTTCGGCGTGGAAGCCGTGGAATGGCACAATGTGGTTCTCGTGGCCTGGGGTGAGGGTGAGTCGGGTTAGGATTAGGGCTTCGGTCTTTAGGACGGGGCCTGCGTCGCCGCGGCGGGATGTCTTGACGGCTACAACTCGGCTGGCGTTGATGGGGGAGCTGGGTGGGGTGTTGAGGAGGGTATTGTTGTTGGTGGTGGTGGCGGGGTTGGTGGTTGGGGTTGATCGCGCTTTGTAGACTTTACTCCAGACGCCCTCGCCGAACTCGATGCGACGGCCGCGCTCGTCGAGGCATGGCTCTAGTTCGTCTGTGAAGCGGAGCGGGGTGGTAATGTTGCGTCTGAATAGGGCTGCGGAGTGCTCATCGCTAGTTTCTGATAATGGGGTGACGATGCGCTCGCTGCTTTCTTTGCCAATTGGTGTAACCGGGGGAGTAAGACTCGAGCCGGATGTCGAGGTGTGTAATATGCCTTTGCCATCGTGGCCGGTGTGCAGCGACAATTGCATGGGCGAACTGGGGGGAGTCATACTCGGCATGATACTAGTAGTACCAGTATACTAGTATGGAGGAATGCGCCCTTGTGAGTCAACCGCGTGGCTGGTGATGAGGTATAGCCAATTAATCAGAGGCGATTGACAATTGATACTAGCAAGGGAGCAAGATGCTTGATCTGCAAAGGCAGAGTATGCAAATGCAAAGTAGTGCACCACAGCGAGGCTGCTGGGTGTATCAGCGCCACCGGAGGCGAAAAGGCGAAGTAGTTGGGGCGTTCGTTCCAGTCAGTCGCATCATCCACGGTTTGGGGCACGGCTATGACGTGGTGGCGAGGCGAATTTGAATTTGAATATTTGGGGAACTCCTCGGAATGGACGGATTTTATAGATTTCCTCGAGTGTAGGGACGAAGAACAAATATCAAATAATTAAAGAAAGAGAAGAGAAAAGAAAGGAAGAATGAGGTGGCCGACGAGGACAAAGCGTGAAAGTGAAAGTGGAAGCCCGAAAGCGTGGAAAAGCAAAGGCGCGAACAAGGCGATTAGCGCCATGTCGGGGGCCGCGCAAGATAAAGGGAAAAGAAAAAGAAAAGAAAAACAGAGATTGGCGATTGACAGTTCAACCTTTAGCAATCCACCTATCGGGGCGGGTCGAATGGCCGGTCTCGACCAGGTGGGAAATGACAGAAGGAAGATTTGCCAGTGAGGACGAGGGGATCGCCGGTGGATAGAAGGATGTGACGGTGGTAACGGTGGGTTTTGGTGGGAAATGGGAAATGAGAAGTGATAATGGGAGATTGGAAATGCATGCTAATCCTAGTTAATGTCCATGCTAAAGATTCTGCTAACTGCGATCGGCAGGGTCATGCTCCACCGTTCGGTTAGACCCTGGTGTTTTGTTTACTTTACTGTTTACTCTCGGGGGTTGTTTATTCAGTTGTTTATTGTGTTGATTATCCTAAGGTTACTAGAATACCGGTAGAATACGAAAAGCTGGGGTAGCTGGCAACGTCGCAGTTCATCAATCCTAGGGTAGTATAGTCCCTCCTTTAGTGAGGGTGGCTGCTGCAACCGTCTCCACTGCATGCGGCTTGGAGGGGGAGCTAGTAGTAGTCACGGCGGGTCTGGGAATACGAATAACCGTAGGACTTAGCAGTAGGAGTATAGTATTCCAAAGTACTCGTAGTTAACAATTACTTGTCGTCGATTAACTATTGGTGTACAGTATTATTTGTATATGTATTCCAGTATTCTAGTATGCAATATTCCAGGATTCTGTATCATCCCAGCCAATCACATCCAATCGCCCTCCCTCGTGCGCCCCGGCCCGGCCCAGCTCTGCATCCGTGCTTCTATAAATACAAAGACAAAAGGGTATCAAAATCTACATCCTATACACGGTATACACGGCATACAACCAGGAAATTCAAACAAACACCACCTTTAGTGCATCCTCTTGACCCCATCGGCGCTTTCCCCCGCACCGAACGTGGTCAGAGTCGCCCCAATCACACGACTCAACTGCAGCGCAGACAGGTCCTGTGCGTGCTGCTCATACAACAGGATGATATCCCAGAGCACCTCCGCTGAAAGGGTCCGGACCCGCCATCCACTAAAATCACACTCGATCATTTTTAATAGTTGGGTATCTTCCTCGCCAACTCTGGTGATATTCGGGTCGATTTCACCCCTATCACATCTCAACCGCTTGTCCGCATAAGCGACCAGGCCAGGGATCTCTTGGAGAACCTGGTCCGTCGTCAGGTTCGGGAGTAGGGTTTGGAGAAGCTCCGCCACCGACATATCGTTCTTACCGCGAAACACCCTCGCTATAGCGTCGAATAACCGTGCCACATCAGTGCGTCTCTCTTCAGCAACCTTCGACAGTTTTCGGACAGCAATGCAATTCTCATCAGCTTCGAAGAATAAAACCGACATAGGCTCCCGGGGATACAATTCGGTGGTATCGATTTTGAGAGGCTCGAATGGGCGACGGTCCCACAGCAACGCAGCATCATCAAAGTTGGCGTTGCCAACTCGGGCGGCGCGTTCTTCATCAATGAGTCGGTCCTTGATGCGCAGTATACCGTAGTGGATGGTGCCGATGACCTCGGCCAACTCCTTGGTCAATAACCCAATCTTCTCGTCGATATCCCGTAGATCTGCTGTTGGTGTATTGGGGCAGGCGGCCAGCCGGGCCAGTTCGCTCATTTTTGCATCAATAGCCAACTGCTTCGAAATAGTTAATTCTCGATAATAGGCGGCCCGGTTGTCTGCCCCAAGAGCGGTACGGGCCTTGCTGGCTATCCCCTTCTCTTTGCTGTTCATCTTCTTCGTCAAATTTTCATGCAACTCCGTACTAATTCTCGGAGTATGCGGGAGCGCCTTCTTAGTTGGTTTGGGGTGTTCTGGCGCAAAGCGAATCTGGGGCATCTCTCGACCCGGCGGAGTCTTGAAAGCCGCGCCTCTCTCTGACACCCGCTTCTCAATTCTGTCATATACGCTGAGCCCCTTCAGTCCGACCCACGATATGTCCTCGCTGGAACTGGCAGCCTCGATTGCATTTAATGCCACACTCTCCGTCAGTAGAGCCGGTCGATTGCGATCCGCCATAGTTTGTGGAAGGACAATCCGTGCTTCGGTTTGGGGCATCACAGCTAGCATCCGGACACTACCATACTCATGAAGCCCGGATTGGTTTAGGCAGTCCTCCATAAGTGCGCCCCACCATCTTGCTGGTGTATAGTGATTCAACTCGGAGTTTGGTACTGCCGGGTTGGCGAGCACAAGCAGGGTATCGTTATTCCGCATTTCACCAGATTTCCTTGGCGGTAATGGTTCTTGCTCCGGTAAAAGTCTGCTAAAAACTCCCGTCCAGTTCTTTTGAGAGTATATATCCATATTTTCAAGTGTATAGCAAGGTTTGCTGGCGGCAAGAGGTTCGAGGAATTGACCGAAACTCTTCAAAGCGGGTTCGAGAAGGACATGTCGGCGAGGTTGCAGGTAGTCGTTGATTTTGGAAGAGAGTACGCCGGCGCCAGGCCATAGATCAAGGATATCCAAGGGTGTTCGGTCCCCATTGCTGTTGCGTTTCTGCAGGTAGGGCGATAGTCGTTGGAAAACGTCACCTAGGAGAGCTTGTTGTCAGGACCAGATCAGGCTTTTTGGTGGAAAAGAAAGCAATGCTCTTACCAATTAGTTGTTCTGATACAATGTTCACGCGAACAGTTCTGTTATGGACTTTGGGTATCAGGCTCAGTGGCTCCGTCACTGGGTAGCGTGATAACGGGGTCCATATTGGTGTTCTCATGCTGTACAAGGAAATGAAAAAAAGAGCAGAGATCTGGCTATATCATGAGGAACAACAATTCGAGATACAGAGGGCGCCGGTCTGCATGGCTGGTGGATCGTAGGAATTTGGAGAGATTTGTCGGAGTAAAAGCGGAGAGTCGCGTAAGGTACGTAAGGACCTCCTTGACTACCCACGTTGTTCCGCGCCGCATCCCACTTGCACTTGCACTTGCACTTGCAGGCTCCAACTTCTTTGCCCTTGGCTTCTCCCTCTTCTCTTTTCTCTTTTCCCTTTCAAAGCCCGTCTTTATGCGGCTGCCTTGACATTTCGCCATTTCTCTAACATTCGGTGATTGATCCACCCAACCTGCGACAATCATGCCCCTTCGGACTACTTTCGCATGAAGAGGGGCCTTTTATCTTGGAACATTCCCCCCATCCCTCGCAGGATCTCTTGAACCCTTTGACACCTACGCCTCGTCGCCATGGCTTCTATTCCGCCAGTAATGGGCACTGCGGGTAGCCCGCCCCAAAGTGTCGAAAGGATCACTCGCATCGCTCAGGATTACGAGTACAACCCCGCGGTCCCGCTCCGGTATTGGCTGCGGACAGCGGCTACACTGAATCGCGAGGTAACTGAGTTGAAATGAAACCGTAAATACCTGCCTATTTTACATCAAGCTAATCGAATACTTTCATAATAGGCCCAAATTTACGAACGCGAAGGCCACGACGAACAAGCATATCTTCTCCTTTTCCGACACGCCCAGCTGGTTCTGGTCCACCTCACCAAACACCCAGATTCTCTCAAAGATAGTCAGGTTAAAAAGGCTTTGGTCGCAGCTGAAAAACTGGTAGATGCAAATCTCCGCAAGTTGGAGGCGCTCAAGCCGCGCATCAATAAACGATATGATCGCTACACCCAAGTTATGCGCGATCGCCAATCACGCAAACTGTCAACGGAAGTCAGCTTTACAACCGAACCACGAGACCGTGTCATCGATCCCGCTTTGACTGGCGTTGCCAAACCCCTGGAAGCCGGCGAAAACAGGGACCTTGCGGTCCGTCTAGCGCAGTCAGAGCTTACCCGCCGGGCTACTGTTCGGAGGACACAAGAACAAGGCGATGACGACAGCCGGCGAGCTGCGGGGGTATGGGGCAACTGGGAGGATGCCTTGAAGACGAATGATCGGGGAGGCGATGACTTGAGTCAACGGATCCAGAATATTCGCTCCAATATCGGGCCCGCGCCCAAGGCCAATGTCGCACGCCAAAAGCCTACTGCGCCAGATATTCCTCCACGCGTCTCCTCCGCATACAAATACCCTACCGTCCCTCGCCAAAACACCCTGGAACCCTTTGTCCCGCAAGCCCAGATCGCTATCCACGATAAGAACGCCGAACGACAACCACCCCCAGTCCCTCCTCCAAAGGAACATATTGCGCCGAGCAGAGCTTCGTTCGTGGATGGCGCATCGGTAGAGCCACCAGCCCTCCCAGCAAAGGTATCCTCACCACCGCCTCCTCCCGAGAAATCACCCTTGCCCGAGGCCCAGTCTGCGCGTTCCAATCTCGACCCAGCAAGCTACACGTTCAAGCCATCGGCATATTTGGAAAACGGCAGTCCTCTTCGCTCTGTCTTTCTCCCGGCAAATCTCCGTACCCAATTCCTGTCCGCTGTTGCCACCAACACGCAGCGCAACTTGGAAACATGCGGAATTCTCTGCGGCACATTGGTGTCGAATGCGCTGTTTATCTCCAAATTACTTATCCCCGAGCAGACTGCGACATCAGACACGTGTGAGACAACAAACGAGTCTGCTATTTTCGAGTTCTGTGACTCAGAGGACTTATTGATGCTTGGCTGGATCCACACGCATCCTTCGCAGACCTGCTTCATGAGCTCGCGCGACTTGCACACCCACTGCGGCTACCAAGTCATGCTCGCAGAGAGTATCGCAATAGTTTGCGCTCCGAGCAAGACTCCCGACTGGGGAGTCTTTCGTCTCACCGATCCTCCTGGATTAAAGACTGTACTCAACTGTACCCAGACTGGTCTGTTCCACCCGCATGCTGAAGATAATATATATACGGGAGCATTGAGACCCGGCCATGTGTTTGAGGTCAATGGACTGGAGTTCGAGACGGTAGACCTGCGCCCGAAGAACTAGCGGGTTTGTTTTTCTTTCGCCTCATCCCCGGCACTCATCTCAATATGATACCCTCAGACATCGCATCGTCATTACGCTAGCTCTAGAATACTACAAAGAAAAAGGCTCAAAAATTCACAATGAAATGTTATCATTCTTTGCCTAGGACTGTAGTGGACTCGGATGTATATGAACCCTTCAGATCCAGTTACTAGTTATTGCGTAGCAGTGATCCAGGTGGCCCCGGATCCTAGCAGCGCCACTAGATCCATACCATCAACCTCGAAAGACAGACCATCTCATTCCTAAGCTGACTAGGTAGGCTTATTCTTCAGGGTGTGTATGGGGATGATAACTCTTCGAAGGATTTCTTCTCTTAGACGCAGATCCGGAGCTAGCCCTCGCCTTGCGTGAAGTCGTAGGCGAACGCGGACCATGAGACTTACGTCGACTACGCGATTGGCGCACGGTAGTCATGTTCATGCTCTTTTAATGATGGGTTAGTAATGTTTTACAGCTTGAGCCACTTTCAATAGTATGCATACCATATCTGCAGCGCTACCGCCAATATCATGTTGATGGTTATACGTGTCTGCGTCCTCTTCCATTTGGGCGACTTCCACGCGATAATGGTCGGAACTGGGGAATTTGGATGTCATTTTTGGATTGGGAGGTGGTTGATGTTAGAATGTAGTAGACCTATGCGTGTATTGGATTCTATATTGAAGAGTGGCTTGTCTTGGAAGCATTTCGATCGAACGGCGCCTCGCGTTCACTTATATAGTAGTTGTTTGAATCCGCCACCACATCGTCATTTGTTTTCCAGAAGGCAATTCGGAAGGAAAGCCCGTTCGAATTAGAAAGAAAATGTAGATCTATTGCTCATCTATTTATCAGATCGACACCAGTTGAGCCTTTGGAATGGCCCCGGGGATGTTTCAGATAGTAGCAGTCAACATGTACCTTAAGGTGCTCCGTCGGAGTTGCGCCTATCGATGGGCTCGTGCAACTGGACCGCTTCCCAATGAGAGCCGATGGATTTCTAGCGGCATAATGGAAGGCATTGCAAAGGGAGGAGCGTAATAATTGTCAAACCCCGCAAGTGACTGTTAATTTCTTGCAGATGTACCATATGGCATGGTATCCCTATAGATCCGGCCCCCCCCACATGATAAGCGATAAGTCACTTCACCCTGTCCAACTTACCTTCCCATGCCAACTTGAACCCCCAAACTCTCCCTTCGCTCACATCTTCGCCTTGCTCCTTACTTCTTTGCTCATTGATTAGCTTTAATTCTCCCCCGAATTGTCCGTATGTCGTCTTCATCACAAGGGGGGTTCCCCCTCTGACGCCCCCTCAACTTCCACCCAACCCGACTCTCACAACCCCCAGCAAAAGCCCGGCTCCTTCAACGCCGCCTCCTACCTCTCCTACCCAGTCAGTCACGTCGTCTCCGGCCTATATCGACGCTTGACAGATCCAAACATCGCTGCCCCCGACTCCACCGTCATGCCGTGGTCCTTCTCATCCTCCTCCTCGGAAGTCTACACCCCGCGCCGAACAGCTTCACCCTTCCAACCACCACCTCTCACACCTTTAGCCCTGACCATTCCCAAAGGCGAAGACCTCCTGCAGCAACAACTCCTTACCCGCGCTCTCGCTGAAGAAATCCGCCTCCTTGTCCCCGCCCGCCTACAACTAGTCGAGAACTGGCGTCTCGCCTACAGTCTTGACCGCGACGGAGCCGCCCTATCCACCCTCTACGACAACTGCGAACAATTCTCTCACCGCAGCCCGCGGGCGGGCTACGTGCTAGTGATACGCGACTCCTCGCCCAGCGGCGCAGTCTTCGGTGCCTACATGACCGACGCACCGCACCCGGATTCCCAATTCTTCGGCACGGGCGAGTGTTTCCTTTGGCGCGCGAGCGTGCTCCCACCCCCGATTAGCTTGGGACTGGCATTCTCCGGCGACGGGCCCCAATCAGAAGAAGCGCTGGAACGCGCCGGCCTACCACCCCCTCCCTCTGCGGATACAACCCACGCTGGACGATGGAGTACGTTCCGCGGGGACTCGAAGTCTCAAGAAAGCGACCACCGAGTCGCCCGCTCACAATCTTAATATGAATATCAAGACGAATCTCGCCGCTGCGAGTGGTGGTGCCCTGGCGCCGCCTTCGCCTTCGCCTTCGTCAACTGCTACTCCTTCGCGGAGTGGGGCGAGTACCCCCGAGCGCATTCGGTTCAAGGCTTTCCCGTATAGTGGTGTTAATGATTATATGATGTTTTGCGAAACGGGATTCCTCAGCTTAGGAGGCGGGTAAGTAACACCGGCTTCATCTAGTTTTCTTATAGTGCGTGCTCATACGGTTCTGTTTATAGGGACGGTCATTATGGGCTGTGGGTTGACTCTGGCCTTGAAAAGGGCGTCAGCGCCTCTTCCCAGACCTTTGGGAATGAACCTCTCTCCGACGAAGGTGTCAAGTTTGATATTCTCAACGTCGAAGTGTGGTATGTCGGCTCTTGAGCATTCTGACTATCTTCACCAAAAGTCCACAGGCGCCAAAAAGCAACAAACACCAAAAGCAAAATATAAAAAAGGGAATCTTCTACAGGAGGTTGCAAAAGTTCACCACCCGGGCTGCCCCAACGGACGCAATCTTTAAAAGCCTCGTGGTGGTTGGTCATGGAGGAACTCCCGTTGGTATCCTCTTCCGGCGTATTGTTTTGTGACTGCATTTACTTTCGAATACCCAAGCAGAGAATGGTGCTAGATGCTTCATGTCTGCTTACTCATTTTCTCATTTTCTATCTCGTGGAATCAGAATATAGCGGTCGTTCCTTGGTCATCTATCTGCCTGATTGCTTTATCCCATGAAGTGGGATGTACATAAATTTGAATATATTTGCTTGGCCGAAAGGCCTTGGAACCATTCGACTTGAACTTTTGACTTGATATGACTAAAATTATTCAGAAGTCTAACGGTGTTCTTGGCAACTGACTCCAGAGGCCTTTTTCGGCAGACCATGAGGTAAAATATCGTGGCAAGGACTTGATATCTACCCATAATACTACCAGGGCTCAGAATATCCAAACAATTGGACTATACTTTCAAATGCCCACTAACAGCCCCCATTGTCTATACGGAGTCCCTCCGAGAAACCTGACTTCTCGCACTACTCCGAGTCTCGTATTACCCCATCTTTTGCGCGGGGTCAAAGCGACCAAAGTCTTGGAATCGTGCCAACTTCTCCACCTTTATCTACTCCTCTCGCCAAGGATCTCAACAGATTACAACCTTGCCTAGCATCTCTTCTATTCCCCTGACCTGTCGAAAGTATTGCATGATACCCTTGGCTACCCTTGGCTTAAAGGACCTCATACCGAGAACCGCCACGATGTCCAATCCAGTGTTATCCAAAAAGCTCCAGACTCTCGTCCAATCATACGAAAAGTCCCACCCAAAATCAAGGAAAGCCTTCGAACGAGCCGAAAAGGTCCTACCGGCAGGAAGTACACGATCTGTCCTGGTATCCTCCCCATTCCCTCTGATAATCCAGTCCGCCCAAGGCGCCCAATTCACCACAATCGACGGGGTGAAGTTCGACGACTTCGTCTCTGACTATTCGGCCGGTATCTACGGGCACTCACACCCGGTAATCGAAGAGGCTGTCCAGCAAGCCCTGGCAACAGGTTTCAGTCTGGGCGGAATAACCGAGAAAGAGGCCGAGCTAGCAGAAATCCTGACGACTCGATTTCCTTCTCTGGAAAAAGTCAGATTCTGCAATTCCGGTACAGAGGCAAATACGCTTGCCGTGGCTACTGCACTCGCGTCTACAAATCGACGCCAAGTCCTCGTCTTTGATAGTGGATACCACGGCGGAACTATGTCCTTCTCGACCCGGGATAACCCAATGAATCTGCCTCATCACTTTGTCTTCGGGAAATATAATGATACGGCCGAAGCAACGCGCGCTCTCGTCACTAGCGAGATTGGCGCTATCCTAGTCGAACCCATGCAAGCGGCCGGTGGCATGATCCCCGCAACGCGAGAATTCTTGGCCACGCTACGCCAAGCTGCGGATGAAGTCGGGGCCGTTCTGATCTTCGACGAAGTCGTAACTTCTAGAATGCATTATCATGGTATGCAGGGGGCTCTCGATATCATACCCGACATGACGACTGTGGGAAAGTATCTCGGAGGCGGATTTCCCTTCGGCGCCTTTGGTGGATCGGCGAAACTTATGAGTCGTTTTGATTCGGGTGATAAATCAATTGCACTGACTCATTCTGGGACATTTAATAATAATATCTTCACTATGACTGCTGCTGTTGCGGTGTCGAAGTTGATTACCGAGGCGCAGTTGAATAGGCTTAATGGTATGGGGGATCGTCTTCGAAAGGAAGCGAATGAAATCTTGAAGAAGGCGGATTTCAAAACCATGTCCTTTACCGGGTATGGGAGTGCGGTAGGTGTGCATTTTTCTGGTGATGATGCTGAGGCTTTGCGGGAGTATTTCTATTTCGGCTTGATTAATCGTGGGATCTCGATTGGTCGGCGTGGGTTTGTTTCTCTTAATCTTGCGCACACGGAGCACTCTATTGATCGTCTGTTGGAGGCTGTTCATGCTTTTGTGGATGATGTTTCATCGTGGAAGGCCTTGTAGAGTTTGATCGGGGCTGTATTATATGAGAACTTGAATTTAAGCATTTGAATTGACACATTTACCTGCAGTTTGTTTTTGTTTACCTTTTCTGGTAGACATTTCTGTTCTTGAAAGAAGACCAATTGAAATCAAAGTTAAAATGGAATACTATTAACTTCACTATAAACGTCGTTCATCTATCCCTCTGGCATCTAAGCGCCGCGAGTTTACCACAATGCAAAATCCTTATAGCTTAGCCTTGCGATCAGCCAGCTTTTCTATCTCTGCAAATTGGTAATAAAAATCAAGACTCTCCGGATTAAGCAATGTTCCAGATGGCTTGATCTTCTTGCCGGAAACAATCTGCTTAACGGGTAATTCAACCTTCTTCAGATTGACCGTTACCTGTGAAATGATATTTGTGTTAGTGACTGGCAGAGCAATTAGATAAAAGGGACGAGTAACGAACCGGAATAGCAGGGGTTTCAAAAATGAACTTTGGCACATGTCGAGCGCTTAAAGCTTTGCGGATAGCTTCCTTGATGCGAGTCATCAATGCTTGATCCGCCTTGAACGGCGGTCGCATTTGAAGGAATAAAAGAACGGATTCGTCGCTATCCTGTGGCCTTCGCTGTCCGACGCAAACAGAATCCACAACCTCCTCCGGGAATTGGGTATCGATTACGTTGTAGATCTCCGCAGATCCGAATCTAACTCCGGACGGGTTCAAGACACCGTCAGATCGACCCAGGAAAAGCACTTGGTTTGTCGATGGATTGATTGCAATGAAGTCACCGTGTGTCCAAACGTCTAAACGAATATCAGCTCTGAGTATGAAAGGAAAGGAATAAGAAGAAGGAATTGAAAACTTACTATCAAAGCGTGCGAAATATGCATTGAAGTACTTCTTACCCCCTTCATCACCCCAAAACTTAACCGGCATACTGGGAAATGCTGCCGTAGCGACAATCTCTCCAGGCTCTCCATTGGGTGCTTCAGTTCCTTTGACCTGAGTGACACCCTCGTCCACCTGTTCAAAGGCGGCGATGGGAATCCCAAGACTAGGTCCCTGGCATCCTCCGGAGTAAACAGGGGTGATTGGGTTTTCCATGCCAAAGCAGGCCGCAAGATCTGTACCTCCAGAGATATTCGCAATCTGGGTATGCGAGGGAAACCCTTCATCATAGAACCATTCAAATAATGATTCGGAAAGAACCATACCGGTACTCGTCACGCCACGAAGATTGCTGAGATCCGCGATCTTACGTGGGCTAATTCCATTTTTGCGTAGTTCGTGCATCCATCGAGGAGAGGTTCCGAAGTGTGTCACTCTGAATTCGATGAACCTCGGTTAGCTTTCAAGGCAGGACTTGGAATATGGAGAGCTGAGAGGTCTGGGGAACATACTTGTATTTCTCAAGGAGCTTGACCAAAATTGTCACATCCGGCAGAAATGGACTGCCGTCGTAGAGAATTGGTCGGGCGCCGAAGATAAGTCCTGAAACGCAGGACATGTACATGATCCAACCAGTTGTCGTGTATTGAAGCACCGTCGCATTTGAATTCATGCTTCGGTTCAATCGCCCCTCTTTGTTCGTGTTCAATATCACTCCTCCCACAGAGTGAACAATGCATTTCGGCTCTCCGGTTGTTCCAGATGAATAAACAATGAGAAAAGGATCACGGAATCTGACCCGGACAAATTCTAACTGATCGGACTTCGCGCCAGAGAGAAATTTGTCTAGGGTTTGCACTCGAGGAATTGCGTTGATATCCGCTGGCTTGCCTCTGAACCTGGGCACCGAGATAACTCCCTGGAACTCCGAGACCGCTGATAGCCCCTCGACAACTTGCTTAATTTTCGGTCTGAGGTCCAAACTCTTGCCATTATACACAGTCGTATCATCGAAAAACACCCATTTTGGCTGGATTTGTAGCAGTCGGTCCAAGATACCCTTCACACCTGTATCGGTAGATGTGGTGGAGACAATCGCCCCGAGGGAAGTAATTGCCAGGAAGATGATCAAAGTGTCAATGCTATTACTAGCAACTACACCAACACGATCTCCCTTTGTTAAACCGGCCGTCTTCAAGGCTTGGATCATACGACCAGTGCGCTGTCTCAATTCCCGCCAAGTGAGGTCCACGGCCGGCTCCGCAGCACCTTCACGAACCTCGGTTGCGGCAATCTTATCATCTTCCTTACCAACAGTGGTAATGGTTGAAGCAGGATTTCCCGGTTGACTCGCAGTAAAGAGAACATTCTCCGCATAATTGAGACGCACACCAGCGAACCAGTCGGGAATACTATCGATGCGAGCGCTCTCGTCAACAACTTGGTCGTAGGTTCCCTCGTGTATGATTGGGAAGTATTTCCAGCAGAAATCCCAAAAGGAAGCCCGATTTTCGATCGACCACTTGTAAAGGGAGTTGTAATCGGGCAATTTCACCCCCTTGGTCTTTTCGAGACTTCGCTTGAACTCGGCCATGGCGGTGGCCTCGGGATTGGGGTGCTCCCAAAGCTTCCGAGGTATGCTCGTATAGGCGGACATTATGGGCAAGCTCTCTTTGGGTAAAAGCAACTTAGAGGATACTTGATGGTAGATAAAAGTATAAAAGGGTAAAACTCGAGAAGGACGATGATAATTGGATTTAAGGAACCAGCAGTCGTGCCGAAATAAGCTGCGCCGCGGCTCAATTTCGGGTATTTCCTCAAATGCGGGGTCGGGGTTAGCACCGATTGTACAAGCTATCTCACAACATGAGTTAGATTTCCGGAGAAATTGGAGATTGGATAATATTGGCAATTTGATATTACCTGCTGAGGCAGAAAGGGATTGAAATAACCATTGCCCATCCCGCTATACCTACTAAGTTAACCCGCTACTACTTCAAGTTACTACCAGTATAAATAGTCGTGCCATCTGAGAAACTGATAGAGAATATTGCCGTAGGAGGATTTGTGAGAACAGTATCGTTAAGTATGTTGCTTGGGGATCTTCTTTCTATATCACCGCCGAAAGATTCAGGGTAATGTAGTAAAGAAGGTGGAAAGTAACTAGCCACACATGGAGTAATGCGAATTCAATATTGCAACTGCCTATTCCTTCACTTGACTTCTCAAGTGATCTTCTGTAGTACCCACTCAACAACCTTATCCATCATTTCCAGTGAGAACCAATGACCAGTATCCTCGAACACATTCAAAGATACATCGTTCTTTGGGCCGTATTTTTCGACCCAGGGTACGCTGAATTTGCTGGGTACAAGGGTATCTAGAGCACCGTTGAGAAGCAAGATTTGCTTGCCCTCGATTTGTGAAACACGCTGGTCCCGATCCCTGTACATCTGAGCTATGGATTCGGGCCATCGGATCGGATCAGGGCCGTCTCTTTTGCCGAGCCGCTCGAGTAGCAAGTCGGTCATATTGGGCGATCCCACGGAGATGATAGCGGTCTTGATTCGCTTTTCATCGGCGAGAATATTCCATGCTGTGTGGCCTCCGAGTGAGTGTCCTGACATGACAAATTCGGTTGGGTTGAATCGATCTTCCACGTAAAGCTTAAGGTATCTCATCACAGTTTGGATGTCGAGAGCAATTCCATCTGCGACGAAGAAAATACCAGTGAGAATAATTTCCTAAATAAGTGGAGGGTGTTCGAACCTATCATGGCGAGCATGTCATGTCTGTTCTTGTGTCAGTTCACAGTTCATTAAAGGCTTATCGGGGAGGGACGCTAACGCATGCTTCTCGTTTCCTTGTTTCCATCCTTGACTATATCGATAGGGTCAGCGACTGAAAGAAGATATTTAAAATAATTTTCCAGTATTGAATCTCACATTGACTTGGTATCAATCTATAAGTAGACGGTTAGATAATAATTGTATGCATAGCAACAGGATGGAGTAGGGTACCGCTCTTTCGCCGTGATTGCGATTATCAAAGGTCGCCACGACAAAACCTTTCTTCGATTCTCCAGTTTGCCGCAGCTGATGAAGGAACTGATGTGCGAAAAGCTCGGCATTTTTATAGGTTCTTGTGCGTCCATGGACATGGAATAAAACCACCGTGTTCTCTGCCTGCTGTGGGGATAGCTCGTCGATGCCATAGAGGTAAACGTGAAAGCCGGAAATATTGATCTTTGTTTTGCTAGACTTGACCGTGTCTTCCGGTAGCGTATCGAAACGTTGGGTTTTCTGGGACATGGTGAAGTTGAGCTTCAGGTGGATGCGGGGTCAAATTTCGGTGATGAAGGAAGTTGGGATGAGGATGAGGACGTTGGAGTGAATGGAGTTTCTTGGTTTCGTGATTCGAGTGCGGGCGATCGATTAATAAGTTTCCGAGAAATTAGGCGGGTCTCCGGTGCTGGGAGGGGTTTGTTTTCGAGTTCAACTGCGAGCGATCGACTCATTCGGGCCTTGAGTCTCCGATTAATTCGGCATGTAGTGCGAGTCCCCCGAACAATCCTCGGATCTCTAAGCAATTCATTTCAAGTCTATCTAAAATACACGCAGTTCTTAATTCAAACCTTGACATCATAAAAGTGGATCATATTTTCTCAAGCTTATCTCGCTCGAGGCTTTTTTCTCCCTAATAAATACAAATTGTGCCTTATAACTCTAATGCCAATACTTTGGCGCAACCCCCTTCACCATCAGCCAAGCTTCTTCAAGCGCCTGGACAACGTCTTCTGGTAGGGAGGTTTTCTCCAGATCAGATAAATTTGTCTCCAGGTGTTTAACACTGCTTGCACCGACAAGGATAGCATCCTGTAGTTCTTCGTTCAGTTGAGAATGATATTTCAGCCACCTCAGCGCAACTTCTCCATCTGTCAACCCATGCTTTGTCGCAGCAGCATGGATGAGCTCAATGGCGTCGAAATAAACATCATTCCAGTACCGGTTTCGGTGGACTGTTCCTTGCAGGATTTTCGGATCGAATCGAGAACCCTCCTCAAACTCGGTTTGCTCGCGTTTGTACCGACCAGTGAGTAGTCCTCCAGCCAAAGGCTGGAATGCGTATAGCGATATGTTGTACTTGCGAAGACAGGGGAACAATTCGCCCTCAATGCTTCGTTGAAGAGCATGGTAGATTCCCTGGTATACTGAGGGCATGATCCATCCATTCTTCTTGCAGATCTCACATATCTGCGCAACCTCCCAGGACATGAAGTTGCTCAGTCCGAGACGCTTGAAACGCCCTTGTTCGTAAAGATTATTGACTTCTCGGAGTGTGTCCTCGAATGGGTTTTTGCGATCCGGTGCATGCAGATAGAACAAATCGACTTGTTCGCTCTTCAGGGCCTTCAAGCTATTCGTCAGTCCCCGGCGGATGTCAACTGGCTTATGCGTGTAGGAATCTTCGAAATTCCACGTCCCTTCGGAATTTGGGTAGAGCTTGGTGTCGATGGTGAGGCCTCGGTCTTGCCATGATAAGGAACCAAGCATTTCTTCACAAGAACCATCGCCGTAAATTCTAGCGGTGTCGACTTCGTTATGTCCGTGGCTTTGGAAGGTGTCCAGGATCAGAGCTGCGTCTTCCTTTTCGTGAACACGGGCACCAAGAGTGTCTATTGCCTGATTAGCTTTTGGTCATTTGGATGAACCAAGATCAATATTGGTGAAGTGATGACATACTCGGTTTGCCAAAGGTCATTGCCCCAAAGACAATCTTCAAGTTCGCGTTGTCTGCCATTGCAAATTAGCTGAGCGTTATTTTTCTGTCCTGCTGAGATGGATTGAGATAGTCTGCTTCAAGTCTTTATTTCATTTCCCTTCCTGCCATGACCACCTCTTATTTATACCTTGTCAACCCAGGTTACCGATTTTTCCGTGCTGACCGACGCCGCAGCGCCTCATGCAGGCGGGCTTTAATACAGTTACTATATCCGTCTAACGCCGCGCCCGATCCATGCTCACCCGGGCACCACGTACCCAATAGCAGGCTACCCCGAGCTTTTTAAGTCCGAAAAAAAATAAGGTGGAAAAAATGGCTTAGACGAGCATAGCCGCGATAATTTAATGAGATTCTTCGTATGCCCCGCTGATATTGCCGTTGATCCGATATTTGTCAAGAGTCATGTCTACATATGCCTTTTCAAGAATATGAGATCACTCCACATCGAACCGATCTGATTTCTCTTGCGGGTTTTGAAAGACTTCAGGCCGTACTTGGGACAATATTGGGATTTCTCTGACGGCTATGGAGATTAGAAACTGGGTTAGACGCCAAGCTGGAGTGGAAGTTACCTAGGTAGTCTTGTGGAGATTGATTGGCAAGGCCAGACCGTGGGGAACCTTGCAGCGGTGATCGTTGAATACCTAAGGTCAAGAATGGGATGACAAATAAGGTATATCTGGAATGATCTGCTCGATCTTGATCTTCTTAGCATAGGGTTTTTGTTTAGAATATTTGAAATTTTTCATCCTCGAAATTTGTTCTTAAAGAAGTGAAGAACTTCAAGGCAAAACAACATCGGAAGACATTCTATTAAATACTGAAAGATGGATCATAGAACCAACATCCGTTGGTGCATGTATCGTGCTTCTGAGGCCACTGAGGTCTCAGCCCTGCGGCTCGGTCAGCCCTCAATGCTTTGTGGCCTTTGTAGCGCGTTTGTCCTTTGATAGTGGTAATTAGTAGTATTCGGTGTTAGATTATAGATTTGAGGGCTTTTCCCTCCATCATCGATTTCATCTCATTTGGTTCCGCTCCCGTCACTACGTGTATCGGGTAATCAGAACATTCGAGCCGTAGAAGATTAAGCCTAAAAGTTTCGTACTAGGCAAAGAGACAAAGAGACAAAAATGTGAAACAAAAGAAGTATGTAGATTGCAAGTAAAGGTGCTATGTCGAGCGACTCTCCACTATCGCATAGGGTGGGACGAGCATCCCCAGCAGCAATACGCTCATCATGATCGTCCTTGGTCTTTTGTGACATTGAGGCAACTTTATGTTTTCTCTCAGGTGGTAATCGTTGAATAAAGCGATATGCCCATATTTTGCTAACCGGAAATCGAGGCTTTTTTGCACGCGCAATGATAGCATTCGCGTGATCTTGGATGGTCGCAGGCGTCAAATGGTATATCAATATGCTGCATCAAAACAACCCAGTCTTGCATTGCGCGCTCTTGGGCCTCTGTGAGCGCTTTATTCTTAGGCTTGCGGCTAGAAAGCGACGTTCGGCCCATCTTGATGCAGCGGTGAAGCACGCTATAAGAGTCGTCAAATTTGCGTGCAAGGTGCGCTATGCTTGGCTTTTTTAACGGCACGAGCGGCTTTGCAGGCCTTAATTACACGAGATTCGTGGATTCGGCATTCTCGGGCATATTGGTGGCCGGTGGGAGTGTTTAATAGGCAGAATTGCAATGATTCTGAGAGAGGAGGTGTGGCACGCTACAACTACTTACTACTTGGAGAGCTCTGGTTGCTCTGATCCCCAAGTTCCGTTGTTGAAATAGCTATAGAAACACTCTGTGTTCGTTAAAATACTATAGCAATACTGTATATTGATAAGAATAGTTGCAGAAAAGGTATTTGATGGTATTTCTAGACTTAGGTTTCGCCACTATGGTAGGGGGGCCTATTACACTAACTAAAAACAAAAATCGAAGCCTGCATTGAAGCGAAAACCTATGATTCCAGCAGGATAAGCGAGGGAAGAAAAAATTGACGAAAGTCAGAATATCAGATCTCAAAAAATACCGATAATGAAGGGATGAAAGCACAATAAACAGCAGGGGGTATGGGTAATGGTACAAAAAATCAGGAATAAAGGAGCAGGAAAAAAAGTAAAGAGAAGAGCCAAGAACCAAGAGCGAATACAATCCACCCAAAGAGAGATGGGGAGAATCAGTAAGTTTAGTATGGCGAATTGACAATGTCGTTTCTTCCCAGATGGCTGCTGAACCTGCCGCTGCGTCCACGAGCAGGTGTGATAGGACCGGCGATACTCTCGCGAGTAGGCTTCTGGAAGGTACGCTTGGCAACCATGTTAACCTCGTTGGGAAGGGCGACAATAACGTTCTTATCAGAGCCGAAGCGGAAATTGTCCGCCATGACATCTTCGCCATAACGCTTGATTGTGTATGGGTCCTTGCGACCAGAAAGGATCTTCTTCAGGCCCCAGGTGATAATGAAGGGACCGGTTGCAGTAATGATAGATGTTTCCTCCGAGTCAACACCAGTGTTGAAGCGGGCAGGAGTGAATGCTAGGGGCTGCTTGGTCTCGTGCTGGAACTGCGCGACGTGGGCAGGCTGGAGACCCAGACGGCGAGGCTGAGGCTTCGAATCCTTGGCGAAGGACTTCTCAAATCCGAGCTTGCCCTCATTCTTGCCGTCCTTCTGCAGCGCGTCGATCAGAAGGAGATAAGTACGGCACGTGGCGAGCACCCAACGACCATCGGCCGACACATCGACACCGATGATCTTCTCCCCGAGAGCGGGAATGTGAGTCTTGGCGTTGATACCCAGGCGATCGAACATGCGAATATCACCCTTGTCGGAAGCGACGGCAAGATATCCCTTCTCAGTCGTGGCCATGGCAGAGAAATCGTTCTTACTAGCATACTGCTTCAGGTCGGTATCAACCAACTTGTTGCCGGAGACACGAGGATCGATGCGGTACAAAGCATTCTTAGAAGCACCAACAAACGGCTGGGCAGATGTCATTTGGGCGAATTTCTGTGGCACTGGTTAGCAGATAAAAAATATTTGAGAGGGAAATATCACTGACCGTCTCAGGGGCGAATGTCTCGACAGGAATGTCGTCGTGAACCTTCCACTCATCGACGACCTTGCCATACTCAAGATCCATCTTGAACAGCGAGTTGGGATCATCGCCATTCTGGAGAATCATGTTGCGATCCTCTGCGTGAAGCATGACCTTCTTCGGGCTGAATAACTTGCCACCAGGGGTTTCCACTTTAGAAATATTGGTCGAGAATTCCAGGTTGTTGTTGTCGGTGTGCTTGAAGACACCAATCTTGGACCCGCGGACCACGAATGAGCGGTCGTTGTAGCCGACTGCAAGCTGGGAGTTGACATTGCCATCCTGGTCGCGAGTGACGACGTCATCCTCCTCCTCATCGCTATCGTAGTGCTCACTCCGTTGGCCATCATCCTGGTCGGTTTCGTGCTCCTCCTCTTCTTCTTCTTCTTCCTCTTCCTCGGGCAGAGCATCGGCGTCTTCCATTGTGAGGTCCTGGAAAGCATCGAGCACATATTCTCGGTCATTCTCCTTGACCTTGGTCCACTTCATTTCGTTAAGCTGTTCCCAGAGAGCCTGCATGAGACCCTCCTGGAAGCGTTCCTCGGAAACCTGGTCCTTGAAGCGCAGGAGCCACGAGTAAGCCGATCCATCCTCAGCGTAGTGGTTGAAGATAAAGGAAAGGTACTCGAAGTTGAAAACAGGGTTGATGTCACCGACAACAGCTTGACCCAGCCATTCCTTCTCGCTGCCAGTAATTTGAAGCCAGTATTGCCAGTTTCCGATCTCCGAGACAGTTGCCACAACTTCTGAATCCTGCAAAATAAAAGTTCCAGTTGGGAAATCAAACATGTGAAGTTCAGCCCTCTCTTTTGTGAGAATCTCCTTGGATTCAGGCTGGGGCGCGGAGGGCGGAGCGGTAGTGGACTCCTCGTTGGGGGCGGCTGTCTTGGTTTGGCCCTTGGATTGGGCGTACTTGACATCTTGCGCCATAGCGGCAGCAGACTCGCCCGACGTCACGGGAGGCACTTGGGACTTGGAGGTCGGGGACGGGACAGGGCTTGCAGAGGGAATAGGGTGCTCCTCTTGGTGAGAAAACTCTTGAAGTTCGTCTTCAGTAGCCTTTTGGGCGGTGCGGCGGAATTTCCGTTCGTACTGGCACTGTATCGCGGCAAGCTCAAAGGTGGCAAGTTTGTCGGCGGGGACCGAAGAGTCACAGATGAATTCAAAAAGGTCTCCCTCGTCACCACTCAGATCGTCCCATGCAAGAATCTTAATACCTCCCTCACGAACTTCGGAGCGGAAGTGCAAAGACTGGTCGAGCAGGAAAACCTTCTCGTCTTTGTCCAGACCGTCGGCGGCACCCTGCTCGTCCTCGTCGTCGGCAAGGTCCTCCTCGCCTTCTTCGTAGGCTCTCTGAACAACCAGTTGGTATTGAAATTCCTGGCCTGTCCGTCGGATAGTGGCCGCGGCGTCTTTGAAGATGAGCTCCGAATAGCCCTTTGGAGAGAGGGGTCGGACTAGATACAACTGGCCTGGGGGATTTCGATGATAGCCTCTTTCGAAGTGTCACCGAAAAGGTATTTGCCCACTAGAATAAATCCAGAGCAAAGATTAGCGCGAATTCTTATACGTGGTGGGGGAAGATATGGTGGTTGGTATGGAGGGGTTAGGCGGGGCATGGAGCGCGTTTGCTTACCGTTGCGGAGCATAAACATGGTTGCGAGGGGCAGCTAACCAGGTGGTGGAGGGGAGAAAGAGAGAGTAGGCACGACCAGGGAGGGGGTATAGGGTTATATGAGAGTAGGGAGAGATTGAAAGAGAAAAAGGAAAAGGGACAAAGGAGAGTAGAGGGGTGAGCTCCAAAAGAGAAGGGTGGTTGCTTTCCTGGAGGGAGAAAGAGAAAAGAAAAAAAGTAACTTGAACATTAAAGACTAAGAAACTAAGGGCATCACCAAAACAGAAAAGTCGCCTCCGTCATCGTCTGTGGCGTTGGTGCCACTGTGGCTGGTGGCTGTGGCTAGGAGCTGCCATGCTGACATAATCGTGGCTGGTGGAGCTCGAAGTGTCCGTAGCGAAAACTGACCTCGGGTGTCCTTAGCAAGTCTCCAACTGATTGTCGAACCTCCGGACCCCCAATCACTACGATCACTACGCCCCGATCAGTCAATCTTGATTGGCCAGAATAATACAATTTACATACTAGCTACTTTTTCAAGTTATCGACCAGCTTTCCCGTACACATGAGGTGGGCTTTCCTGTAACCCGGATTGAACTGGCGTCCCATCATCCTTCATCCCTAGCATCTAACTATAGAAAGTATCCACTAACATATACATAGTGCACCAGTGGTATTTCATCCACCCAATACCTTCCTGGGACGGTCCAATATGGCCAACATCGCAAATGCCCAAACCGGCCGTGAGCCTGATCCCCATGAAGCAGCAATTCTAGCAGCCAAAATCGCAGCTGATCCTCCATACTACCAAATCTATGATAGTCGGGAGGATATGCTCAAGGCTGTCAAAGAACACGCCATCTCCAAAGGCTTCGTCATTGTAATTAAAAGATCAAGCCCGGAGAGGAACATCTATATTGGATGCGACCGGGGTGGTGTTTACAAAGATCGGATCCAGGCACCAGATGGACAAAAGCGCAGAAAGACCAACACGAGACAAACCGGATGCAACTTCCGATTATATGCAAAAAAATCCACTCTTCAAAGCTCTGATGGCAAATGGCATATCAAAGTGCTGAATGGTGAACATAACCATGACCCGGAGCAGACTCTCCTCGAACATCCAGGCGCCCGCGTCATCACGCCCGACCAGAAGAAGATGATCAACTTCCTAGTTTCGGAGAATATGCCGCCGCGCAAAATTATCGCCGCGCTCAAACAGGGGTATCCTGATCTTTTGATCATTCCAAGAGATATCTACAACCTCAAGATGGCCTGGGCACGCGAAGAAAAGCTGAAACGTGAGGCCGAGTTGCCGGAGGCGCGGGCCAAGCGTGCCAAGCTCGAGCAACTTGCCATTCAGCATCGTGAACAAAAGGAAGAGCTTGAGCGTCAACAAAAAGAACAGCGGGATAAACTCGAGAAGGAGCAACAAGAGCAGCGTGACCAGATAGAAAACCCCGGTGACCCTGAATCACGCGGCCAGCTCGAACAGCGTGGGCAGTTTGAACAGCGCGAGCAGCTTGAGCAGCTTCAACAGCTCCAACAACTTCAAAAATACGAACAACTTGAAGAATTGGCTAATCATGTGCGGGGAAGAGTATGAAAAGAGGGGTTTTCAACCATCGAAAGGGCTGGATACATGATTTAATTCATGGATATTGATAATGGAGTTTTGAAATACCTGGACCTTCCATTTTTGTCCGGCGATCATGGTTCGTGCTCGTCTTCTCCCTCTCCAGCTGCATCAGCCATGATCTGCTCCATCAAAGTCACATCCGATTCCTCTTGTTCGTCCTCCACGACTTCTTCCTCGGCACCGCCGTCTGCTTCGGCATCCCCATCCTTATTGTCTTGGTTGCTAGCTTTCTCTTTCAATTTTCCGCCCTTTCGCGGGGGCAAAACTTTCATGAATGCCTCGCCCCAATCACCTAATTCAAGCCACTTCAACATTATGTCCACCACATGGTTTGTGGTGAGCACCGAGCGGTCTGTCATTTTGATGTATTCCGAGATGGGCAGCTTCGCGGTCTTGATACCCTTTTCCACGGCATTCTTGTAGCAGACTGCCTTGTACCGATTCTTATCCACCAGTCCACCAATAATATATGTACAATATGGCTTCAGTTCCGTAAGAGTGTTTTCGCTATCACTGCTGAGATAGATGACCTCCCCTTCTTCTGGTTTCGCGTCTGGGTAGTTGTCAAAAGGTCCCACAAGCTTGCCACCGCGCGAGGATGCCATATGCCCCTTGGCGATTTCTGCAGCTTGCACGAAATCCTCAGGTATGAATTGTATACCCTTCCAGAGCTTGTAGCTGGATAGTGTAGTATCGAAGCGTTCTTTGAGCAGCTTGTCGAAGGTTGAGAAGATCAGGTTCCCGCGCCAGGGTGAGCGGCTATTATCAGAGTATATGCGGGTTAATTGTGATGACAAGGAGATGCGCTCCTTGGGATTCATCAATTCGTCGTAGCTGCAGTCGACGACAATTGTGAAGGGCAGAAGCTTCGACCGTCCAAACTTGGCTTTGGTTCCCTCCCACTGTTTCTTGAGAGCTGCTACAGCCTCTGCACCGCCATTTTCCCGGGCCACCTTTATCTCCTCGTACCGCCGCTCTTTCTTCTTTTGTGCTAGATCCTTGCGCTTCGCTTTGCGAATATCGCGTTCTTCCTCCCACTTTGCTTGGCGGCGGAGCTTCTTAAGTTGATTTTTCGACATTTTTGGTGCGCTTTCCTCGGTTCCTTCTGCTGGAGCTGTCTCGGTTGTTTCATTCAAAGTATCTCCGGGCAGTTCCGAGCTAGCGAGGGTAGATTCGTTCGTGGTTTGCGCATCCATTTTCTCCGACTCATTGTTGGCGGGAATTGCGCCGGTCATGGCAGGCCCGAGTTGTTGCTTTGTGAATTCGTCTGTATTGCCGATCTTGGCTAATTTCCGTGGCCGCTCGTCGTCGGACATTGTGTTGGGCAAAATGTGCCTCAAAGAGTAGCACAGTTCGTTATTGGAAAATTGACAAAGCGAGCACCACGCTGGGCGGAGAGAGCTGTAGATGAAGCCCGCTAGGAAAAGCCCACCTTCCCGCGTTGGCCAATAAGCGTCCCCACAGCGCTCATTACTGTACAGCCACGTGACCTGCCATCACCAACTTCTCCCGGCGACTCGCGAGGAGTGAACCTCAGTGACCTCAAAAAGCCCACTACCGCCATTATGCCTCAGGATATGCCCCCAGTGGGGGGGCTACGCTCAGGTCCAATACAAGGTACGCTCTCAATGCCGTTTTTGAAGCCGTCCAGCCGCCCAAGCAAAGCCCACCCGCTTTCCCACAGCAACCCTTGTGCTAACGTTCTATCGCCTGATCTTCTAGCGCAATATCCCCACCCGCGGTTTCCAGCCATGGGTCTACATGGCCGGCATGCACCTGATCATGATCTGGGGTACTTACAAGTACATGCAGGGTACCCGCGAGCAACGGTACGTTTTGCGCGATGACGAGCTCCCTCCGTCCGAACGACCCGAAACCCTGTGCAATTGAGCATCGGAGAATCACCCGGAGCGGCGGTACGCAATTGACAATCGGAGACTAATTCAATCGCTTTTTGTCCGCTATAGGGAACTCGCCCGTGAGAAGATGTGGGCCCGCATGTACCTGACTCCTCTCCTCCAGGCTGAGGAGGACCGCGACCAAGTTCGTCGTCACTTCGCCAACCAGGCCCGCGAGGTGGAGCTCCTCGGCAGTGAGCAGAAGATCTACAACTCCGACCGGTACGTCTGCATCCACGTAGTCTACCTTCACTCGGTCTTCATATGGCCTACCCTTTGCCATTGCTAACTCCCCGGTCTGTACAGCTTCGTCCCTGCCACCATCACCTATACCCCGCCCATGACCGCGGCTAGCAAGGCCTGGTACCAGTTCTGGTAACTGCCTTGACTACATCCGTTGTTTGCATATGATTCAGCAACATGTTGGTGTATCTGAGTAACGCCACTGCTTCGCGTGCAGTGAGCTGGAGTTGAACAAGACGGATCAAGATGCGTTGTGGAAGAACGAAGGGGTGGAGAGAATATGCTCGATGAGATGAAATCGAGCAAAATACTGTAGATATTACATTACTGGAAGTGTTTTAGTTTGGACTTGCAATCAATTGATTTTTCAATACGTTCAATCGTTATGTTTCAAGGCTTCCTTGCGCGGTTTGCCCGCCTTCATCCTTTCCACAAATATATCAGCCGCTCAAACCCGCGCCCCATTTCCCCACTCACTCACGGCCAAATTAGTGGTGTCAGTTTAAATATACATTATATCATCGCCATCTGCCCAGGGCTCATAATCCCTCATTTCTGGTCGATCATTTGTCTCAAGGCCATAAGTTCGCCCTCTGATTTTGCAGCTCGTAACCGCAACGCATCTCGTTCTCTCCTGATATCCTCCAATTGAGCCTCTAATTCCGATACCTGATCCAACTTCTTCTGACGGAGCTTGCGAGCAGCAAGCTTATTCTTCCGCCGCCTTTCTGCGATTTTCTCCTCGTCAGAGTCCTGAGAAGAAGGAGTATCACTTCCTACTGCTGTGTACCTCTGTGAGCGATCTTTGGACACCTTGGCTGTAGTCTTCCGTGAGGTCTCAACGTGATCGGATGTGTATGTTTCGGGGTGGGAAACAGGTGATGATGGCTGCTGGTAGACTGCATCTAGCGAGCCCACTCCATTCCTTCTCGCAAGCTCTTTCTGGCTTATTATAGATGAATTTCGATTATTTGATTCAATCGTAGGGATCAATGAATGGAGAGAGAAGTCGACATTGGCGAAGGTATTGAAAGAATCAGTCTCGTCCAGCAGCGGACTATTTGTGGAGGAGAATGTTGAGTGGAAATCACATGATGGTGTGGATGTATTGTTGTAAATCAAATTGCCAGGTAGTATCTCGCCGTTTACCCAGACTTGTGGCGATTCGAGCAACTCCAGGGGCTCTGGGATCTCTGGCATGTTTGCCCAGCTGAGGGCCGGAGCAGCTGGAGAATGAGAGATTGGGTTTCCCATTGATGTAGCCCAATTGAAGTCGCTTTGTTGCTTTTTATCGGTTGGGAAAGCCCCGAGTAGTCCTTGGTCCAATGCAATTGTACTAGTATGTGTCGTCATTGGTGGCCGAGCTCAAGTCGGGTTGAAGTATAGAACGGTAGTACTAGGTAGTAGTACTGGTATCAGTGTTGGATATAGTTTGGTAGTTGAGGGTGACAACTTGAATAAATTAGTGGATACAATTCTGTATGTGCCAAGGGGTATATATAACAAGCCACATCTATCTCCGATGGAGAAAATGGCTGCAAAGCCTGCTGGTTAGTCTTGTCCGGGGTGGTTCATCTGGAGATTTGCAGATGGGCCAGTGGGTCGTTCAGTCAAATCCGACGCTAGCGACTCAATATGTCCGGAGCTAGTCCCAAAGTGGTTTGGCGTGGCCAGCGGCCCTTCACTGTGAAGGCTCACCACTCGAATCATCGATCTCCTCCCCACGTCCCACTCGGACTTATTCTGATTGTGAATACGCCATGGATTCCTCGGGCGACCCTCCCGTGAAGAGGAGAAAGCCGAGGCCCGTTCTCTCCTGCGTAACCTGTCGCCAAAAGAAGTATGTCTGTCTGTGATCTATCGCAGTCCCGTAAGCCCAATTGATGGTGGACGAACTACTGGTTCTGACTAACTGCATAGGTTGAAATGTAATCGCGAACACCCCTGTGATAACTGTATCAAACACAATAGAATGTACATGTGCCACTATGCAGGTCCACAACGCATGACCAAGAAACATTCTCAAGGCATACAGCACCACCTACGAGAACTCGAGGCTCAGATTGGCCAGCTATCTGCTACAAATTCCCAGCAACACAGACTAGCTCCAGCGGGGACTGTGCTAGTGCCTCAGGAAGTACCTCAGCCAAGCAGAGAGACCTTACCCGAGCCTATATTTCCTGGGACTATGCAAGTCAATCAAGATGGACAGGATGGAACACGATATGTCGATCCAACCCACTGGCAAGCAGTCTTGCACCAGGTAGGCTGTTATCCCATTCTATGACGTGGTGCTGAACACATCCTAAAAAGAGTATAGATTGCAGAAGTGAAAGAATACCTCCAGCTAACTGAAGACACATCACCGGAGGAGGAAGAAGATGAACATTCCTGTCTTCCAGAAATATCCGGACCAGTTCTTTTGTTTGGCAATGCAATCTCAACTTCAAAAGATGATCTGCTTGATGCACTGCCTGCGAGGGCTGTAGCTGATCGACTGGTATCCTCCTATCTGAACTCCAAAGAGGCTACCCTCGGTAGGTTTGATAATATTCCGCTCTCTACTATTGTTACAAGCACAAGTTGACCAGCATCCAGTCATCACTCACATACCCACATTTACCAAAGAAGTCGGTCTTCCTATTTATGTTTAAGATTTCCACTTACCTAAATTCCGAGTCCCTTTAGTACGCAGAGTTCTGGAAGAACCCACAAGCGGCATCTATCAATTGGCTCGCATATATTTTTAGCATTCTCTGTGCGGGCACAGGGCTGCAACTTTTCTCTACAGCGGGGCGAGTCGATGGTGACCTCTCCGAAACATTCGCCGAGTACCACCGAATCGCATCACAATGTCTGACCATGTCAAACTACACATCACCTGGACGATTCAAAATGGAAGCGGTCATTTTGAATGTTGCTATGGAGATTCTCAGAAGCACTGACAACCATGTTGGCCCCTCTGTTCTCCTCGGTTTGGCATCTCGATTGGCAATGCATAGTGGTTACCACAGAGATTCAAAACACTATCGTGAGATATCTGTTTTTGACGGTGAAATGCGCCGGCGTGTTTGGATGTCCTTACGCCTTCTTGATCACTACATCTCCCTTCAAGCCGGCCTCCCACCATCAACAACACCAGTCCAAACTGACACCGAAGAGCCTCAAAATCTAGTTGATGAAGACTTAGATCCATCGATGACAACTCTTCCTCCATCTAGACCCTTCACAGAGATAACACCAATGCTCTTTCCTGTTACGTTGAATCGGATGATGTTCATGGGCGCAGACATCATGAGCAAGGTCTGCTCAGTGAAAGGGGTCCCCTACAAGGAAGTCTTACAGCTGGATGCTAAATTAAAAGAGCTCTACGCAATGATCCCTCCCCCGCTGAGATACCGCACAATGAGTGAATCAATTGCAGATTCGCCGAATACAATCATGGATCGGTACAATATTGATTTGATCTATCAGAAGTGCCGATGTGATCTGCACCGCAGATATCTGGCCCAACATCGCATGGATCCTGCATTTGCATATTCCCGGAAGGAGTGCTTGGATGCTGCTAGAGCCGTGCTCCAACACCAGTCCGACATATTTGAATCTAGCTCCGTGTCCTCATTCTTCTTTTCACCAATTGTCGCCACACACTTTCGCTCCGCTGCGATGATCGTTTCTTTGGAGATATCATGCCAATCTCGATATGATTTAAAACAGAATTTGTCACCGAATGACAGACAGGCAATTATCAATGAGCGGCATCAGCTTTCACAGGAGATTGAGAGGGCCTTTAATATTTGGAGCCAACTGCGTCAACAATCCAAGGAAGCCTCCAAGATGGCCCAGGCGTTGAGTATCATGCTCAAAGTTACAAACACCCACCTACAGCATGGAGATACACCAGAGCAAGTAAACTTACTCGGTTCAAACCCGGAATCCCAAGACGGTGAGTCCCTCACAATGTCGAACTTACTCCTTGAACCTCGACTAACCACCCTCTTCTAGTTCCCCCAATCCCTCCAGCTCCAGTGATACCCACGCCGCAGTCCCAAGAGTCTCAGCTATATGGCCAGAATGAATATACTCCATTAGACGTGGATCTAATGGACGCTAGTTTCTATTTAGGTCAAGACGAAGACCCTACTTCACAGCCTCATAATGGGTTCTTCGCAGGATCTTCGGGCATAGTAGACTTTTATGACCGATATTGGGATAATTTAATGCTGCTCGGGGATGAGCAGCCCTTCATCGACATGCAGCAGGGTGGCAGTAACCAGCCTGGTCCCGAAGGAAGTTCTTTCTAGATATGGAGCCCAACGGATATACTCGACAATTATGCGCCACATGTGTGTGATATAGCTAGCATGGGTTATTTCCCACCGAGAGCAACCTCACTCGATCAACCGCGTTCCAAGCTTCCATTCTCTGGGGGGTATTTTCTGAGAAGCGATGCGAATATCGCGCAGTGAAGTATGATCTGGTTTTTTCTTATTGGCTGTTTCTATGAAAGGGTCGAAGTTCAATATGTAGATAAAATAAGCCATCATAGATGTCTCCATACCTAAGTGTTCAAATCATTTAAAGGTCCCAGATCCCTTGCAAGAATCGGGCTATCCCTGTCCATCCGAAACTACCAACCAATAGATAGTTACCTCGATTAGTCAAATTAATTGACCTTGTTTCTGTTTAAAGCATAGATAAGCCTATAAGAAATATTTGAATCTGCCGTTCCTCGAGATCACGAAATAAGCGTCGTCGTCTTACGCGCCAAGATCTGACACTTTCCCCTTCAAGCACAAACTTCCATAAGCATACAATCTCTGGCCAGTTTATTGGATGCCTTCGCCTTGAATTACAATTCTGCTTTCGTACTACAGATACCCAGCCAATATTTCTCCTGACTATACCCCCTGGCTGTATAAGCACTCCGCTGTTTGATTCTGTAAGATACAATAGTTCGCGCTAATGCACGCTAAAAGAGATCAAACATACTCGGAGACAGTACAGACTGCAGTGGCCGAGTGCAGCCACTTCGAAGTCCGATTAAGCGAGCCGTGTACATTACCCAGAGTGATAATACGGCTGCAGGCTGCGTATTATGATTGGCTTTCGCCAGAATATGCCACTTGATGGATGGTCCGAGCACAACAAAGCAACATGCGATTGTGGCTTGCATATTCTCTGAGTCTGAATTATGGGTTCACTTGCAGCTTTTGGAAATGGTGTTCGGTAAAGATGGCTGTCACAGCTCGAGTGTTCTTATCCCCAGATTATTTAGGTGCACTTGCGTTTTGAACATGAGCCCCGTGCTGCTTACCTTCAACCTGTTGTCTAAGAAAAAGTGAAGCTAGTATGAAGAGGATTTAAAGAATACAAAGATCCAGCCCTTTCCGTGCTTCTGGAATACATTCCTCCATCAATCAAATAGAAGATTTATTATCCTCCCTCAAGATGACTCTGGTCGACACTCGTCAAAAGGACTTCTGGTCTACTGAGGTTCGGATCTCTTGAGTATAAATAAATACGTGATTCCATTTAACATCTAACAAATTACAGACCTATGAAGCCGTCGCTTCCTTCGTCCCTCGTCTTTCAGATACTCTCGTTCAAAGCATCGACTTCAAGCCCACCGACCGAGTCCTTGACATCGGATGTGGCGATGGGAAATTCACCACCTCCTATTCCTCCGCAGTAAGCCATGTGATGGGAGTAGATTCTTCTTTGGCAATGATAGAGGCCGCAAAAACATTCAACTATGGCGGCGCGACCACAGAGTTCCGTGTTGTTGACTGTCGACATTTGGACAAGGAAGAAGATGTTGTGAATGGGCAGTGGGATAAAGTGTAAGATCAACTATACCCCTCGTGAGAGGCAAAAAAGCGTCGTGTTCTAAGGATATCTTTAGATCATCCAACGCCGCTTTCCACTGGATTTTGAGAGACCCAAAAACCCGAGTCTCCACAATTGAAACTATCTTTAAATCCATGAAGCCGGGAGGAACATTCTTCTTCGAGATGTGCGGATTCGGCAATGCCCCCGAGATGGTCACATCTTTCACTTATTCGCTAGTGAACCATGGCATTCCAATTGAACAAGTAGAGGCAGCTTGCCCTTGGTTCCATCCCTCTGATGACTATATGAAAGGCTTGCTTGAGGATGCTGGCTTTGAAGTCAAACATATTACTCTCCAACCGAGGGCTTTAAAGATGAATCCTGAGATAAACGGTGGCCTTAAGGGGCTTATGAAACTTCTTGGTACCCCGTGGTTGGATATTTTGGAAACTGAGGAGGAGAGGGAATCGTGTCTGGATCAGATGTGTCGTATGCTTCGGAGTGGAACTACGAAAGAGGATGGTTGTCAATACATCACTTACTATGGTCTTCGATGTGTGGCTGTCAAGCCTTAGATCGATATTGGAGCCTAGTTACAAGTTGGGCGAACAATCTGAAGATGGAGGTTTGGATTAGAACTCAAATGACTCCAACGCATACAATTGGAAGTAGATATCTTTGCCCGAGTATCGACGGTAATTACTGGTATTAGTGAATACCTTACACCTACTTTTGTTAGATAGTAGTTACTAGTTGACTAGTAGTACTGCATGCACCCGCCTCAGGCATCCGCACTGACAGATCGTGCCTTCCATCCGTCCTTCCATCCGTCCTGTTCTGGATAGCTTCACATTCAGTCTCTTCTCTTCTTCTTCTCTTCTTCTTCTCTTCTTCTCTCACCTGACCGAATCCCACCACTTTACCCGCTCATCACCTCATCATCTCTTTTTGAAGCGTAAAAGCCAGAGCTCCTTTCGTATCCTTATACATTCTCCATTACGACAACATTCCGCAAGGTTAGCTTTGTCTCACATTGGCAAGATCCCTCTCAGCTTCATTGACCTGATTTTCCGAGCCAAAGGTCAGCTCACCTTCACCTTTGGAGCCTGCGAAACAGCCTTTATTCTCACATACTACCACATTACAGCGTTAATGTCCCGCGGATTGAGCATGCCAATAAATCCAACCCTGACAGCATGGAGGACGACGCAACTTACGCGACAGACAAATCAAATCCTCCGTCGAGACGCCTGTCAGTCATACAAGGAAGGAGATGGCAAGGGCTATTATTGCCGAGGTTATTTCACCCCGAAGTCCACTCACTTGCTTCCATAATAGAGAACACTGTCTCCCATCTTGACAACTTCGGAACCCCATTCTTCCACCAAGTCTCTAAAATCAACGTGAGCTGGTACCAAAACATAACCTTCCGTCCATCCTCTTGAGCGGCCAGGAAAACAATGCAGTGCTTTACAAGCATGTTCAACAGCGCTATGCAGACACTACGACTCGGAGACTACGCGATGATTTGAATGATCAGCCGGTGGAAACTATCCGCCGCGGGCGGGGTGCTCGATTGGATGCATCAAGAGATCGACATGCATGAGTATCATGGCTGGAATCAGAAGAATCGTTCCCATGTGGGCTGGATTCGACGTTTGTCGCGTTAGTCAGACGGGGGCAAAGGATATCAAATTCATCGAAGTTTGATACAATTTTAATATCAATATTAGCAACTTAACTACATCATCGGGACTCGGGACGCCATTCCAAAACAGCAAAGCCAGCCACTGCTTGACCTATCCGCCTACCATTGAGGAATATCGTTCCTCCCAGAAGTCTCAGGGACGTGCCCGGGACTCACACACCTTTGACGCAAATCAAGCTCCACAGGTCAACCTTGGGAAACCACTCCTGGGGCCCTGAGTGTAAAATTCAAGATACAGCTAAAAGGGCCCTGGAGATGAAATTACTACAGTCTAATAGTACTGGGCAAGCACGAGTACCTGACATTAACCACTTTTCGCCCCTCGAGTTGCTGCCAGTGTCATCACGAGCCACGAACATATTCCAGCAGAATCGCCAAAATGGGCAACCCAATTCATGTCATCCAGCCACCGAGATGACAAATTCCTCATGTCCCTTTTTCTGTTCATGCTCCTTTTCCTGGGCATATTTGGACAATGCATCCCGACGCATTGTCTCCTTTGTCCTCCAGGGCTCGAAGGATAGTCAGGGGACAGTTAAATCAAGTTCGGAAATAAGGAAACTCTAGCCTTGGAGAATTGGACTCCACCCGGTACACATTTTCCAGTGTGAAAAATTCTCATAAAGATGAAACTGGCCGCAGAGTTAACAAGTCGAGATCGCCACCGACAGCGTACACGTCAAGCGTACGCACTGATCGCATGCCCAAACACACACCCAAGCATCAACGTGTGGATTAAGCACAACTGGACAAGTTTGACGATCATGATATTGGAAAGGGATGAAACTGCCTTCACCTGCAGCCGATGATCACCGCCGGTTTTCAGCGAAGAGTCTATCATGTGCACGTCCGAGGCATTTGTTGAGTGGATAAACAACTACAAATTGACCGGGACCGCAGCAGGGGCAGCAGCAATTGCAACCCGTAGCCAGCTAAATATTGGCAGCAAGAGCAGCTCAAAGCACGGGATGACGCGTTCCTGGCTCTCAGCAATATAGTCGAGCGATGTGGGCGAGAACTGGACAGCCTGTATGGTCCAAGGAGCCCGTTCTCTATACCAGATTATCCGGCTGAAATCCTCCCCTTTTTCTGGGAACTGGGCCTTGATTTCAAGGAAAAACGATCACTCTGAGTTTCTACCCTCGGTCAAGCATGGAAGCTCAGCTTGCATTGCCCACTCGGTCAGAAATGGGCTGGTAAGTACTAAATATTATTAGTTATTACTGATAATAACTAACATACTTTACCGGGCAGGAACAATACTAGAGTTTATAAAGCAACAAGATCATCTAGACGAAGCATACATTTAGGACATGTATAAGGATGGGGTGAACCTACGCATCATCTGCAGGATCAATTCGATGTTGGACAATTCTTGAACTTGACACGCCCATTTCTTGCGACTCCTCGAGGGCTCGCTCACATATCCTTCTCGACTCGTGGGCGCCAGTGTACCCGAGGCTCTGGAGCTTCTCTTTATTACTTATTACTGCTCTGTTTGATGATCCGTCAGAAGACTAGCACCAGCCCGAGCTACCTCGTCTAATCATTCACTTTCTCAGGTTCCCTTTCAATCCACCACACACATCCGACCAACTTCGATCGTCAATCTTTCTCTCGCGTATACTTGCGCAGTATAGCCGTCCTATCGGCGAGGTGGTCCTGTCCAGAGGAATCGTGTATGAGGCTCGCCGCCAATCCGCATGGTGACATCGAAACTTGAACCAAGGGCAAGCCCCGCGGAGGAATCATCCAGGGGGGGGCCTGTCTTTGACAAGACAACAGAAATCGACGATTCATCTTTGACTACACCTATTTGCTCTGCGATCTGGCTAGTTGGACGTCAAGACTTTCGAAAACTATTTGCCAAGTTGAATACTACACCTTCTTCAACGCCAGAGACTTCAAAAGCCTTATCACGACATGCAACTGGGAGCTTCCTGACTTCAGCTGTCGCCAACGACCGGACAACTTTGAGACCATCCGAACTCTTGGCCGAGGCATTGTGGGAATGGCCGGTAGCGGTGTCCACTTCCGCGACAGACAAATCAATTCTCCGACGAGATGACTGTCTAACTTACAAAGGTTCAATGTCATTGTACAATGGCACTTGCCAGAAACGCTGAGGTGGATGGAGATGTCACTTGCAGCTACACTGGCAGGGAAGACTAAAAAGAAAGATCAAATACTATCAACCAGAATCTAGGATAAACCAGTAGATACATTTCAAAATGATAAATATTTTTGTTCTTTTAATTATTATTGAATGTGTTTATGCATCATGTTGTTTTTCAACCGTCTATGTGAGGTATAGAGGCTCGTCTATAGAATGACAATTCAAAGCGCCGCCGCCAGGGGTAGTCCGTAAGCTTAAAGCATGAAAGTAAGGAAAGGAAAGTGTAAGATTGGATAGACGGTCAAGTCAACTTCTGATGCGGTTGCAGGGGTTGGAGGGGTTGAAAAGGGTATTCCAGTCAAAATCAGGAACAAGTAGTGTCGTTATCAAGAAAGACCTCGACGGGCATATTCTCAAGGGTTGGATATGGTATTTACCCAAACATGTCAGCGACGCCGGAGAGATCTGGCCCATCGTTGATATCGACTCGTTGAGTTTCTTGTTGTGTTTCCATTTCGTTGGTCATGTATCTCTCCTGCAGCGCGCTTCGGGCCTTACGGCGCTCTTCACGGGAGCCGAGAATTTTACCTTGTTCTGCAATACTCACTCCCCGAAGGGGCTCCAGGAGGTCGAGAATCAAAGCACGTTGCTGCCTAGGCGACGTGCATCGCTGCAGAGCAGCTTCTGTTTGGGCAAATTTCTGTTCAGTGATTCCGGGAAGACTCAGGAGCACAGATTTGGGTGTTTCACTCGCAAATCCATAGAGAACCCAGATAGAGGCAATGAGCTGAGCCAGGTCCTTCTGCATGTCGACGAAATAGGGCTCGTGAACCGACGTGATACAGGCTTTCAGTACCTCTGTGCAGATGAACTCTCGAATGGTCACGGTCGTGGCGCTGTTGTTGGGAGGGGCGAAATCGGCGAGGATCGATCGAATAACACGAGTGATGATGCTGCAGCATCGGGTATCTCGCATGCTAAGAGCATGAGTGCAGAAAAGCATGAGAGGCTCAAAAATTTCAGGTGACGAAAGGACAAAGTGACGAATGGAGTCGGAAAGTTCGGGGGTGGGCTGGGGCGCGCTGGGGTCTGATTCGGTCCCATCGGGGTCTAATTTGACAATGAGCATTAGTTTTTCAATGTCACGGCTTTCCTGGGCACCGCGGGGTTCTTGGCTCAATTGGCGCTTTTCCATTTTGCGGATTTTGTTTATCATACCTCCTCTCTGGGGATCGAACAAGCTAGCGACCATGATAACGGCGGAGTAAGTGAGCTGGCGGAGAACGCTCTCTGATTTCATTTCGTCTGTGAGGTCGCCATCTGAGACGACATTCTTTCTCTGCTCAATTAGTTGCCACTCAGTCGTGATCTTGCGGTCAATGCTGCCGAATAATGTGGCGAGCATGGGAGGAAGGAAGTGGCTGCGGTACTGGACGGGGCAGTCGTCAATTAAGCAGCGGGATATATTCAGCAGAACTGAGTACTGGTGGGAGGACAGATGCTCTGAGTCTTTAAACAAAGCTTGAGACAAGGGGCCAGGTAGTTCAGCAAACCCGTAGAACTGGTCACGCATTCTGCTCATGCTAAAGAGCATGGAGTAGCAGGATTCACGGACTGCCCGGATTTTACCCCGAACAGAAGAAGCAAATCCTTCCATGGTGGCCTTGGAGGCGGTAATTCGGGCGTAGAAGTCATCGCGGCTGCCGCTCGAAATGCCGGCTTGCCAGAATCTGTCAGTCAAGATCCGCTCA